GTATTGTATTTTTTGCTCGAACTTAAAACTAACCGCCAGTTGTGAAAAGTTTTCTCGCCCATGGCTTCCGTGTCCATGTCAGTGTTGACTTCAACTTCACTTTTGGACGCTCAAATGGCGCTCAGCTCAACTCAGTTGAGTTCGGCAGCTAGTGGCAGAGTCCAAGTGGAATTGCATGCAAGAATTCTGGCGTTGTAGCTCCATATACAAGTATATGTGTGTATATACAGTACTATACGAGTATATATATGTTCTTTTTTTATGCAAATGAATTGATCGCTGTTGTTGTAGTTCTTCTACTTGCCCTTCTTCTGACTGGCTGACTTATAACAAAATTTGTATATTGGCTTTATGCTAAAGCTCAAGTTTACATTTATGCCCACGTTGTTGTCGGAATAACAATATGGGCATAACAACAATAACTACAACAACGAAAAACAACTCACAAAAGTTCCACAAAAGCACTCTAAATCAATTGTAAACTTTGCTATTTGAGTTTTGTGCGATATGAACTTTTTGCCTCTGTTGTTGTTGCTCTTGCTTTTGCTGTTGCACGCTCTATACCAAATTTAATCATACTTTGAAAATTGCATTTGCTGTAGCTCATATCTTAGATTATTCTATATTTATATTTATGTATGTAGTAGACGGAATTGGAAATGAGCGAGCGGCGGTGACTTTTCCAGCTTTATGGCTTGACGTACTCCTAAGTCAATTCAATTGAATTGAATTCGGGCCATAAATAAGTTTCAGCAAGGCAATGAACGTAAATTCAATTGGCAAGAGTGTCCAATAAAGCCGTCTAGCAAAGGCAATCACATCTTCCATAAACTTGAAAAGAAGGCTAAGTTCTTGTTTATAACGACATGTGATTCTTAAAAGATTTAGTTGAAATTAAGATTATATATAAAGTCATTCCAATGAAGTTTTCATTGTCCAAGTTCGCAAATTAAAACCAAATCTAATCTGATTTTATCCGGTGAAATTATTCATTTAGAAGAACACAATCACTTAATCTGTCATCTTTTCCTTAAATTAGAAAAGAATATTGTCCCACTACCTGCGAGCATTACTCTCATAGCTATAGAAGCAAGGCTTGACTACGGAAAACTACAGGCCTTAAAAGGTCAAGATATTCAAATCTGTTGAGATCATGAATCATACCAGACCCCTTTAACATAGCAGATTAATGTAGATTCAGCTACATGAGCTCCAATGGGAATTTAGCTGTAATTGAAAAGTGTAAAAATAAATATTTCATTACACATCTATGTATTACGTTAACGATTAATACATTACTAGAGTATGAGTATTAGGTTCAGTTCTTCGTTCTCTTTCTTCATTAAATTAATAAAAAATGTAGAATGAATTGAGGGGTAAGGTTTTACTCAAACAATAATACTATATTATTTCTTATTATTTTTGAGCTCATAACAAGTTCATCAATTTGTTTGTTCTTTCTTTAATTTTATATTAGCTTCATTCTTTCTTATGAATGAATATTTCTAATTTCTGAATTCAATTTAATTGACATACTTATAATAAATATAATGATAAGGAAATGAACAGAAGTTGTTGAATAAATTAAAAATAAAATAAAAATTAAAATTGAACAATTCGTTTAACTGAATCTGAATGACTATAAATTATATTTTCATTACGATATTAATTGATGACATTCTTTTCTTTTGAATATATTTTATATTATTTCACTGTTTATTGATAGAAATATCAAATGTTATATTCTACGCTTCACATGAAATACTATAAACAATCTACACCCGAGTTAGCTTTTGTTAAATTTTAGCGGCTTTTTGGAGAACCGTGCTTTAAAGCCCTTCTAGTCCTTTAATAATTATGTAATTCAATTTAACTTATTTTGAAGGACTGGCCAAAACTGTTATTGATTCGATTAATTTCAACATTAATTGAAGTATTTTCTTGTCATTATTACTCGTACTTCTTTCTATTTACTAATGATGCACATTAATTATTCCCTTCCTTACTAGACAAGAAGTTCTATATCCTAAACTGGACCAAATGGACCAGCAAGTGAACTCATTACAAAATCCACACGTCGGTTAGCTTTAACTTTTGCTACCAATCTTGAAACCAGCAGCTTTGCATCCCATCATTATCCCTTACACAGAACCGCCCCCCTCTCTCTCTCTCTCTCTCTATCTCTCCCGGGCTCTGCTAATGAATTGAAGCATTAGTTTTGCTCTCCATTTCTACGCCTTAAACATGGTTTAGCTGCACCCGCGATAATGTAGAGACGGGCGTCGGGCCGAGCTCGATCCACAAACTAGACGGGGGGAAACCTATGGGGAAGGGGACGAGGGGCAAGTAAAAGCGGGAGCATTTAAATTAACATGCGAGCGTGTTTGGGCGCATTTGCATGTTTCGAGCGGTTCCACCGCTGCTGACAGGTGCAGCGAGCGAGTCAACGACGTCATTTAGTGTTTACTGATTAGCATACGGGTGTGTGTGTGTGTGTGTGTGTGTGTGTGTGCTTTGCTTTGCTTGTACAGCTCGGCTCGTTGGCAGCTGCCTCTGCTACCGTTGAAAGCTAATTGAAACATTTTAATGCTGGCCACTGCCACCAAAGAAGCATTATTTTAAAATTTAATAAAACTTTTTTCAATTAAATAGACTGCTACATAGAAAAAAGAAAACATTTTTAGCGCACAAAACGAAAATGCAGCACGAACAAGAGAAAACAAATAAATTTCAACAGCAAATGCGAATTATGAAAGCCTGGCAATTAAGTGTAAAATTGTTAACAATTTGTTGCCTCCGTACATATTTATGTGTGTGTGTGTGTGTGTGTTTGTGTGGTGTGTTTGGCTTTGAATGCGCAACGTGGCGTATGCGCAATGTAATTTCTACATCTGTGTGTTCGGGTCCTTTAGGGTGCTGCCGGTTCATCGTGGGTGCAACAAACTTTTCGCAGCATTAAATTATTGCATTAAAATTGTTTGCCTGCCAGTTCCGCTTTGTGGAATTCACACACATACATGCACATACGAGTATGAATTTATGCATGTAATATATGTGTGTGTTCGGGTTTGTTTGCTTGTATGTTCACACACTGTGCGTGCACATGAGAGTTGACAAAACTATTCACTAATTTGATCTGTGCAGAAAGTTTTCGACTGAGAGTTCTGTTTTTGATGTGCGTTGTTGGTTTTAAAGCACACCGCAAATTCATTTTATTTAATCCTATTAAATTATGCAAAATGTAACGCCTAGAAATTTTTGGTTTGAAATTATTTAGGGAACTGCAAAGCTTCCTTAAATGAAGGTTTGATTTTTAAAGTTTACGAAGCCAGCGCGTGCAGTTTTTCATTCTAACTTATACAAATATTATATGGAATGGATGTGTATATAAGCAGTTAAATAGTCTGAGTACCTAAAGTAGAAAACAACTGGAATTTATAAAATTGCGAACAATGAAGCAATTTATTTCAAATATTTCTTGATTTGTCTTTGGCGAATAATCAAGCATTTGATGAACTATATACAGATAAACAGATAATGAGAGCTTCAATTCCGCTCGCAACTATTTAAGATAATTTCAGAGACTGCATCATTTAATTTCAATGTATTACAAAAATAATAATAATAAACAGATAAAGAGAGTTTCAATTCCGTTCGCAACTATTTAAGATAATTTCAGAAACTGCTTTAAAGCGAAACACGAAAACCACATAAAGAGGCATCATTTAATTTCAATTTATTACAAAAATAATAAGCACACATACATATACATTCAGTACATATACATATATAGTGCAAGTATTTTAAGAACTGTCTTCCGTTCGCGATTATTTGTTGGCTTGCCCCCCACGAAAGCCTAGAGCACGTCATTAAATACTGTTAACATTTGTTCGTGCTTGCGCCCGACCTACCCTATAATGTAAATAAATACATCCGGTAGCAGGACATATTTTTTTTTTGCTTTGTGGGCTATGCCTTAATTAAATTCTGCTGGTACAGATGGACCGATGCGACAGACGAGTGACTCCTCCTACATGTGTATACATATATATTTATATATATGTATGTACTCGTATATTTACTTTGTGTGGGGCATGAAATTTTTCAATGTAGGTAATGTGGATGGATATACAACATTGCCTGATTTCAAGAACAGGCATTGGAGTCTCCTTGAAAAGGAGGGACAGGAGCGAAATAAACGAATGAAAAGGCGCTCGGGAGGTGAGTGTCGACAGCAGCAAGTGAAAGGCACACAAAGGAGAATGAACGTCAAAAATTTATGAGCGACACACAAACATTCACATGCATGCATACATAACTCAGATGTGCTTTGTTTCTTTGTTTTACACATCCCCAAAGAATCACACAGACACACATGGTTATACATAAATATGTATATGTGTACACTTACACAGTCGTCGGAAAGGGGGCCCAATTTTTCCCAATTATACAATGATATCAGTAACTATTTGATCTTAAAAGCAGTTGGCTCCATTGAACGTTAAACGTTTTTATTTTATTTTTTTGTTTATATTCTTCAGAACATCTTTATTCAGCTTTAGAACATTTTTTGTGTTCTTCAGAACATTTTTATTTAGCTTTAGAACTTTACAGCTTGCTTCTCGTTATTTTTATTTGTAATCATTGGATATTTCTATTCGGGTTCTTTTAATTTGATTTAGGCTTTCGAAAGATGCCGATGTTTTGCCCATTCAATATTTGTACGTAGTTAAAAAAAATGTATCCCCCTCAAAGGCAATCCTGACTACGCCTATGCATATGCATGAAGCCAGCTTCTTCCCTGAATTGCTGTGCTTTTCAACTTGCTGCTGAAAGACATCGCTTGACTGACTCCATTCCTTCTCGAGGTTTAATTGTTGCCACATCCCTTGAGCACGCTCGTTCGTGGCAACAGCAACAACAACAATAAATAAAGGGCAAACAAGCCGCAAATGAACTTGCTAACTAAAATGCAATTCCAACTTATTCCTTCATTGCAGATGTGAAGCCCCCGGACCGCGACCCTCCCACACACTGAACCAGCAAAAGCGCCGCCAATCAACTAACCCAAGCCTTCGCTCCAACCCCCTAGGTCGGTCGTACTCGTCAAGGCCAGGGCCATAAGAAGCATCGACAGCATGACCTTTAAACTATTTCGACGCGGCTCGGCGCGCTGCATAGGATTGCTGTCCGCATTTGTGACCATACTGCTCTGTCTCTACTATATATCCATTGGTCAGCCAAATACGACGCCCATTACAGAGACGAATGCATCGGGACGCGTTGTGCCACCTGCTGGCTTCAGTGTGGGCGGTGGTGCAGCCTCCCATTTACAGCAGCAGCAACAACAACAACAGCTTCATGTCCAGAGCTATCATGCTGCACGGCAGAAGCGACCTGTACCGGAGCAACATTTGCACCAGCAGCAGGATATGGAGAATTCTATAGAGGACTTCGATAATGCAGCCCCCCAAAAGAATAATCCCAATTGGGGAGACAAATGCTATGTGCTGCTTCAGAGTGAGACGAATGTCACTGCAGCCGAGGAGTACAGCAAATTCGATTTTCAGGTAAGACTACTTGTTTTTCTTTATCTATGTACGTTTTCTTATTTACATAGCCAATATTTAACGTACTCTCTTCCCTACATTATTATTGGCATAATCATTGTCTTTTCTTTCTCTTTCAGCCCGAATGGATACGCTCAAAAGAGTACTGGGATCGTGGTTTCGAGGAGCGCTTCGAGGCGCAAAAAAAGGATAAGCATCGGCCCCCGCTCAAAGTCATTGTGGTGCCGCACTCTCACAACGATCCAGGCTGGCTGAAGACCTTTACCAACTACTTTCAATCGGACTCGCGTCAAATACTCAATTTACTGGTGACTAAAATGCAAGAGTATAAGGACATGACATTCATCTGGTCCGAGATCAGCTTTCTGCAACTGTGGTGGGATCAGGCTCATCCCACAAAGCAGCGGGCATTCAAACGCCTCATCAACTCGGGACGCATTGAGATAACTACTGGCGGCTGGGTGATGACGGACGAAGCTAATGTCCATATATATCCCATGCTCGATCAATTGATCGAGGGACATCAGTGGTTGCGCAATAATTTGAATGTAACACCCAAGGTAGGCTGGTCCATTGATCCCTTTGGTCATGGCAGCACAGTGCCATATTTGCTATCGGGCGCCAATTTTGAGGGCGCTATTATCCAACGCATTCATTATGCCTGGAAACAGTGGTTTGCGCGGCAACAAAGTGGAGATTTTATATGGACGCCCTACTGGCGGATGCCTTCGACCTCTCCAGGCACTCAACACGGTCGTTTGCTCACTCACAACATGCCGTTCGACATATACTCGATCAAGGGCTCATGTGGACCGCATCCGTTTATTTGTCTCAATTTTGACTTTCGCAAGATTCCCGGGGAGTATACCGAATATTCAGTGAAGGCGCAATTCATCACTAATGACAATGTTGAGGAGAAGGCCCAACTGCTTTTGGAACAATATTCACGCACTGCCTCGCTCTTTCCACACAATGTGGCGCTCATACCCGTTGGAGATGACTTCCGGTATAATAAGGAGCGTGAGGTGGATCAGCAGTACAGCAATTATAAGAAGCTTATCGATCATATCATGGCCAACAAGCGATTGTATAATGTGGACATTTCTTTTGGCACGCCCAGTGATTACTTTAAAGCCATACGGGAACGTACGGCGCAGTTTCCGAGCTTTAAGGGCGACTTTTTTGTCTACTCGGACATTTTCTCGGAGGGCCGGCCTGCGTATTGGTCTGGCTACTTCAGCACTCGCCCGTTCTACAAACTGATGAGTTCCGAACTAGAGCATCAATTGCGTGCGGCGGAGATTCTCTTCACCGTAGCCTACAATACAGCACGACAGTATCGACACGAGAATGCGATTAAGATTTACGAGAAAAACTATGAGAAGATGATACATGCGCGTCGCAATTTGGGACTCTTTCAGCATCACGATGCCATTACCGGCACCTCCAAGGCGAACGTGATGCGTGACTACGCAATGCGGCTGTTTGAGAGCACGCAGGATATGGTTAAAATGCAGGAGGCCTGCATGGAACTGTTGCTACAAAACGGCAGCTCCCATCACGACTTTCTGCTCAGTGAATTCGAGCGGGATAACTTTTCAAGACTACCTCGAAAGATGCCCATACAGCTGGGCGGCCTAAGCGGAGAGGCCAGCACCACTCAGTCGAAAAATGCCGATGCCAGCTTTGTCGTCTACAATGCACTCACGCATAAGCGTATCGAAATAGTCACGCTGCGTGTTCAACAACCAAACGTGAAAATATTCAATGAGCACGGTGAGGAGCTCAAACACATACAAATAAATCCCGTGTGGAATATCACAGATCCCAATGAGCTGGGCCTAAGTGGCGCCGGAACAGGCACGGGCAGTGTCGGACGCATTCGCATCTCAACACGTCAATATGAAGTTATGTTTGTGGCCGAACTGGAGCCGCTATCCCTCACCACCTATCGCGTACAGGTGGATGATTTTAACTACAAACGAAACATAGCCACAATCTACTGTGACGACTGCACGGATGGAGCCACATCCACATCGATGCCAGAAACCACAGCCAGCCAAGCTAATGCGCCCGATTTTGAAGTGCGCGCGAAGCCAGCAGGTAAGTCTTTAAGATTGCAAAGCTTACACATTTATTTATGTTCAAATGAATAATATTTTTCAGGCGACATACAATTGGAGAACCACAACATGCGTCTGTTGTTTGACGAGAAAAGCGGCTTCCTTAAAACCATTACTCGGAAGAACAAGCAGCAACAGCTCTTGCAACCGATGCAGAGCGCCATCAGATTTGCCGCCTATCGCAGTGCCCAGTTCCATTCGGGTGCCTACCTTTTCAAAACAGATCCGGAGCAAAGCGAGGCTGAGAAGGACGTGCTGGAACAGTATGTGGATGTACGCATTATCATCACTTCCGGGCCCATTGCCAGCGATGTGACCGTCATCTATGGCCCATTCCTGGCACACACTGTGCGCATTTTCAACACACACACGCATCTGGATGCTGCCATCTATATAGAGAATGATATTGACTTTGAGCCGCCGCCTAAAAATCGGGAAACGGAGCTTTTCATGCGTCTGGTGACCAACATTGATAACATTGCACCGGCGCCAATACAACGCGATGTGCTGAAGGAGCCGGAGGGCACCATACCGGAACTTCCAGTATTCTATAGCGATCAGAACGGCTTTCAGTATCATGAGTAAGTCCACCCACAAGGGCAGAACATGCTAAGCATAAACACTTGATAACGCTGTAGAATTAATATTCAACAAACCTTTTTGGAGTACAGCTTGATGCCATTTCATCATTATTCAAAGTCCTGAGCCGTCATTCGATCCGTACTTTCAAAATTGAAATTATGAGATATGATACTTGAACTGTTCTTTCATTCTGCCAGCCCGTTAGGTGCACTTCTTTATCAATTATTAACTATTTGCCTTCTTCCTTGCAGACGCATCAAAGTTCCAGCAATTGGCATTGAGGGCAACTACTTTCCCATCACATCAGGCGCCTTCATACAGGACTCTCACGTGCGTCTCTCGCTGCTCACCACACACGCGCAGGGCGCAGCCAGCTACGAGCCAGGTCAGCTGGAGGTGATGCTAGATCGGCGTACACTCTACGACGATTATCGCGGCATGGGTGAGGGCGTTGTGGACAGTCGAATGACACGTCACAAATTCTGGCTTCTCGTCGAGGATATGCCTGGTGGCCAGCACGTGACACAGCCGCCCAACTACAAGGTGCCCAGCCTGCATGCCCAACAGCTGGCGAATACCTTGCGCTACCCACCGAATCTCTACTTTGTGGAGAACTTTGATCTGCCACCGGCACAGCTGCAGTCACTGGTGCGTCTCTTGCCCCGTGGTGCGCTTCCCTGTGACGTCCATCTGACCACGTTGCGCACGCTTTCGGAGCCGCAGCTGCAACTCTTTCCGTCCGCCTCGGCGCTCCTTGTACTGCACCGCCAGGGCTACGACTGCAGTGTTCGTGCCCAGCAGGTGGACTTAACTGGCGTTTGCACGCTGGACGGTAGCGGCCTGGGCGCGGTCCAGCTTGGTGCACTACGTCTGCAGAGCATTGAGACCACCACATTGACGGGCGGCGCCTTGCAGGACAATGAACGTGAGCGTTTGCGCTCCTTTAGCGAAATCACGTTACAGCCCATGGAGCTACGCACCTTTAATTTAACTTTCCGGGGCGAGCTGTAAGGTGTCTGAGTTCGTCTGTGTTGTACTGAATTCGCTGTTGAGAGTCCAAGTGCATCATATTGCATCTCATTTCCGTTACGTTATGTTAAATATTTATAATTGTATGCATGTATTTATTTTTGCCCGTAGACTTAAGCGCAAAGTGCACGTCGTCTAGCTTTATATTTAACTTCCTCGCGCGTCTTCACAGCTATCTCACATTTAAAAGTACAAAACAGAAACACACAAACAAACAAACAAACAGATACACTCACATACACATAGAACTTAGTTGATAGAAGAAAAGTGTGCGGTCTTACGACCCAAGTGCGAAAAAATGTTCTTAAAAATATTTGCACAACTCCCATAATCATATTTCCTAAACATTATACCGGGACAAACAATTTAGACATTGGGAAATGAAATCAGCAACATGACTTTCGAATTTAAGTTTATTTTTCTTCCTTGTTTTTTTAAATGCTGATTCACAAAAAATAAAGTCTTCAGCAAATCAACTCGGAACAGAAACCGATCCAAGATTTTTGTATGTAAAAAGACAAATTTATGTTTTGTTTTGGATTTATGAAAACCTATACCAAATATGTTTAGTCTTGCATTTATACTTTCCGAGATCCTTGCGTTCATAGACACATACAAGGTCTATCCATCCTTGTAATTTTTCAAATCTAAGTAAAGAAAATTTAGTACTTTAAAGATCAACTTTGGCACCCTTGGATCTCCATCTATTAATCGAATTTGTTTCATACTCTCCTACTTTCACTTCATATTCCATAGTTGTGATTTCATTACTTAGAAAGTGGAATTGAAAAATTTCTATAGGCCAGTAAATATGATTATGGGCGTCAGTCTTCACGACTAACACACGAAATAGCATTACCGCCTTTTTCCGTTTCCGAATTCGATCAAATTATGTGACAGCGAAATTTGTAACAATTTTCTACTCTGACAAACGATATAGTTTTTCGGTTTTCAAAAAGGTGTTCCACTGACTTTTGAAACCGTTTAATTCACTAATTCCGCATATTTGAATTGAATTCGCAAGCGGAAACAGACCTGCATAGGTCACCATTCACAAACAACTGCCGAAGCTGGCACATCATTCCGCTGCGGTCCGTTTGAAAATCAGAGCTCTTAACTAAGAGACAAGACACATTATATAATGACGATGAAAATATAGTTTGTGAGCTCGAATTAAACGCATAATTACTTCAGCCTTGTGTTCTAGCCTAAGTTACAAAGTACGAGTAGTTTAGCTGCATTATTATATGTATGTGTATATCTATATATTTAGCATGAAATATGTATGTGAGTAGTTGCAAATATTTAGCAAAAATTTCTTCGTTACATATTAAGCAGCAACGGTATTTAACTTATAAGTTTATTTACATTTGCAAAATACAATGTATGCCTTTTCGTTTTATCTTTTTAGACTGATTAGCTTAAACCTAATGCAAAATTTATATGAAAACTACTTTTGATTTAGCAAATTTAAATGCATTTCATTATTAACACGAAAACAAAAATTAACAATAATTTCATTGATCTATAGAATAAGGTTTTTATTGAATAGCAAAAGTTAAGCCAAATATTGGGGTACATTTATAGTATGAACGATATTAGTGAGGCGCGATGGAGCGCATGTAAATAGATGCAACGATTTCAAGACATGGTAAAAAATAGCTCTAATTAAATGTAATACCCCCCTAGGCTAAGCCAACAAATATGGATAGTGCTGTACTCTAGAGTAAGTGCTATAACTAAATGAAGTAATGAATAAATAAACCCATTATATGCAGATAAATATAGAAATAAAACAATAGTTACTAACTTTAAAAGCCACACAAAAAACATTCAAGTCGCTGCAATATACGAAAACCATTCTTTTAAGCAACCGAAATGGGTATAACAAAGACATTTTATCAGTTTACTTAGTTCTTAAACTTATTTAAAGATTTATTGTGAAGGAATTAAATATTTATACGAAAACTAGTATATGTATATGTAAAGTATATGTATTTAAAACTATACAAAAGAAATAAAGTATTACATGAAACCATTGAATGGAATCGTTTTTATGAAAAACATAGTAGTGCCCTTTAATGAGGGGTCAGGATGATGAAAGCAATTGATTAACATTTGATAAATTACGTGAAATGAAGTTTGGAATTGTAATTAACGGCTCCCTCTATATAAATTATAAATGCTTCATAAATAAACTTAAAAATTGCGCGAAAAATTAAAATGGAAATTTAAAGAGAAACCTGCTAGGCCTAGAGATTGTGATTAGGTACTTCTTATATTTTCATTAGGTAATTACCTTTTAGCTTTATCTATCCGGCACCACTTCATACATGTTGATTCCTTTCTTCAACAAATGCCCTTGCAGATTAGCCTGATCCACCAGATCTGCAATTCCCGTCATAATGCCGGCGCGCGTGCCCATTTCCTTGAGCTCTTCATATTCGAAAATGCGTCGGCCAAGAGCAGCCGATCTTAATTGCATTATTCGCAAAAAGGCGCGTAATTGCGAAGACTTGCTGCCAGAAGCGGATGCGGCAACAGTATTCATTATCTGACCACACTCTCCACCCAGACTCGTCTGAGCCATACTCTCGGTCAGGACAGAGATAACTTCACGAACGTGGGCTGGCGTTACAATATGGGACAGATCCAGACGTGCACGTGCCTGCGAAAGATGTACCAAGCCGAGAAGTTGCCTTTAAGGAGAAAATATGCATCGTATGTTGTTAGAGAAACGGAGAGTTAATGATGGCTTAGGCCTCATTTCTGAAAAATAAATAATAAATTTGTGCAATTTCTACAAACTTTAATAGAAATATTGTGAACGCCCTCCTCTGCGATTTTCATAGCAACTACCTAAGCGTTGACAAATCGAGAATTAAATTGTGAAATTTCTAAAAAATTAAATAATAAATTTGTGAAATTTCTACAAAATTTAATAGAACTAGCAACTACCTAAGCGTTGGCAAATTGAGAATTAAATTGTGAAATGTTCTGATAAATTAAATCATAATATTGTAGGCGCCCTCCTCTGCGATTCTCATAGCAAGTACCTAAGCGTTGGCAAATCAAGAATTTAATTGTGAAATTTCTAAAAAATTAAATAATAAATTTGTGAATTTAAATTGTGAAATTTCTGATAAATTAAATAAAAATATTGTGGGCGCCCTCCTCTGCGATTCTCATACAAAGTACCTAAGCGCTGACAAATCCAGAATTAAATTTGTGAAATTTATAAAAATTGAATAATAATATTGTGAAATTAAATAGCGAAATTTCTGAAACGGAATATTCCGAAACATTCTTCTTTTAACTTATGATGGCTGGTATTAACAACTAAATTAACTAACTATTTTGTAAACTTATTACAAACTTGTATTTTAATTGATTTTGAAGAATCAAATCTTTGAAAGATAATTGGCATTTTAAAAGAACAGATTTGATAAAAACAAAAATGTTGCACATAATCTAAAATACCTGTACTTGTATATATTAAAGGAGTATATACTCACGTGCTACATTGTATTACATACTTATTTAAAAAATTAATTTAATGTAATGAACTTGGACCGTTTATACAAGGTCTGACCTCATGTAGCATATATTTTAATGAATCTAAATAGGTTATAAGGTTAGTTATACATTCATTAGCATGTAAAAACATTCTGCAAAATTAAAATTAGGCATCACTATTAGCAGAGTTTGTTGTCCAATACCTTTGCAAGGCATGCCATGAGTTCATTCTCATCTCTGCTTTTTTGGCCTATTTTAATTAGCAGATTTGTGTGTTTTTGGTATTGTGCGTCGCACATGCCAACAAACCCGAAAGTCAACAAGAAGCCAAACACAATAAAACACCAACAAATCAACTACAACAAAAATCAAAAACATTTCAATGATAGGCCTGGGGCCTTAAATTCACATCTGTTTTGCCATAATAAAGATTTATTCATTTTGCGTTTCGTCTTCTACTTCTTTTCTAACGTAAGATAACTCAAAACTCATTATAAATAAATTTTCTGTATAAAACCTAGAAACGTGCTAAATTGTTCGTTCACGTTCGAATGCGAAATGCGTTTGTTTATCCCCACTTCCACGAGAACTCTTTTGGTTTTTACCTAACCAAAAAGCCGTTTATGGATGTAGGCTTGTGACTTAATAGCATAAATGAGAATACCTTATCTAGATACAAAATGGTGACAATAACAAATCAGCTGAGTGTGGGCGCGGATCATCAAGCATCAAACATGTCCCACAACGAACATTTTTACAACATTTTCGTACACAATTTTGAAACATCAGCCACAGTCATCGCATCATCAAGAGTTCCATTACAGAGTTTAAGGGAACCAGTTGTTGTCGTTGCTGTAGCTGCTAATGATGATGTTGTTGTGGTTGATGATGGTGCTGTGGCTGTGTTTGATGATGTTGTTGCCTCTCCAGGGCTCGACGGCACGCACCATCATCATCTAGTAAGTCATTCGTGCTCTGCGAGTATTCATTCTCGTTTCGCACGTTGGCGCGCTCGGTTCGAAAGTGGCGGACCCTCTGAACCATTCGAAAGCGGCCGTGCCATCCATCGGTAGACAACGCAATCAATACACAGAGTGCATCTTGAATTTCCTAACATTGACATTGAAAGCGCATTTCGGCATTTCGGTATTTGCTTTTGTTTTACGCATTTTTCGTGTCTTCGGGTTCGTTGATGAAATTTTGTTGCATTTTCGAGTTGCATCGACCCACGGATATTTTTACGGGTGTTGAAAGTGAAGATAAACGAAAAACATATACACCCACTTATTAATTAGTTGACATTACAAAAGAGAGTGCAGTGCAAAACATGTGGACTTCGCGTCTTCTGCTACAATTCTTTTGGGCCTTGGGCACCATATTGACGTTGGCTCGAGGTTTTGAAATGAATAGTAAGTGCATTTCACATTTGCGTAATGGCAAATGTGTGGTTTAATCACAAATTTGATCGCGAAAAACCCACACCTCATTTTGAAATGTTACCCAAGATTCTTGCTAAAGTGCTATCATGAATCAGCAAATTACCCAAAGACACCAAAGTTTTCTAAACACAATCCAAAAAGCAATAACTATTAAATTGATTTAAATCGAAAAAGTGCGATGAGATCATTTAACTAATCACATAAAACATGTAAATGTCAGTTGATTTGCTATGCCTATTGAGGGCTTACTATTTCATATATTATGTGAAAACCTCATCGTACTTCAAGAGAATTTAACTCATCTACGAATATAGTGGGATTGGAAAACCCACATTAAATCCCCCAATTGACATGTTACTTATATTGTAAATGTCAGCTTTATTATTATTAAAATCTAAGACATGTCGGGGTTATACCTAAATTTTAAAATTGCAACGTTTAAAAAAACGTTTAATATTTAATGTGATGGAAATATCGGAAAAGTTCAAAAAAGTTGTATTTTCTAAATTGATATTTTGGATATTTTTTTACTTATGTTCATATTAATGCGATCAAATGTGTTCAAACTCAAAATGATCTAGAAATCATTTTGGTTGTAATAAAGTTCAAATGAATCGTTTAGAAATTGAGTTAGACAGGTAGTTTTGATATGTAGGAGCAGTTTAGATGAAGAAACGATTTGTTTAGAATCGAAGAAAACTATTTTTGTAGCTAATCTTTTTAGTTGTGGAGAACACCACCTGCCGTAAAGACAAGAGGACACCAGAACATTTTCTAGAACACTGTTCGACAATTATCAGGTTTAGATTAAGGAAGTCATATCCCTAAATAGAGATCGATAGAGAAAGATAAAGACATACATAGGCTCTAAAAAAGTAATTTTATTATAATGAAAGCGTTTCATATTTTGTAAACAATCTAAGTCAGCCTATTAAAAAACTATCCAAAAGTCCATTATGTAAATGTAAATCCCATTAAGTATAGCTTAAATTGAATGCATTATTTGTATTTCGTAAACACCTATTAGGAATCAATTGCAGTTACACCCAGATCGAGAACCATTATTAATTTTGTCACATGCATATCATGTTCCTAGTTTGTAAGTTCCACTTGTTCTGAAGTATAGTACATCTAAACAAGTGCTTCAACTATAATACAACGACAACCACAATCACAACAGTTTAAAACACCCAGCCCACAAATTGAGCAACCATTACATTTTTATTTGTATTTTCGTTTTGGCGTGTGTCGGTGTGTGTGTGTGTTTCTAAAGCACACAAAATTATCCCCTTAAATGAGAAGCAAAAACGGTCACCTGTCTCAAGTAATGCGATGATTTTGCACTATTTGCATACCAATTTAGACGATGCAAACAAATTTCAAATATGAACATGCATACCACAATTGTTAAGATATTTCACATTTTTGCAAATTTATTTATCAGTTTATTCAAATACAATTATGCAGTTCATGTAGGTTCAAGAAGTGCACAAATTTTGCAGATTTTGCACTCCAAATTAAATTAAATGATTCAGTAGAAAGATCGTTTTCGAAATCAATCCAATTCTGAAAACTCATGTACTTATATATATATTATTTTAAAGAGTCTTCTTCAAAGTAAAAACAAATTCATTCCACAAGTGTACTATATAATCCCTCAGAAATCAGACAGTGAGTGATAATATGTTGGTAATTTAAGTGACCCAGACAATGGAAAAATTAATATAGAAATAATTAATATTAATTAAGATTCGCACATGTTACAATTTTAAGCACAGCACATACATTCTTAAAGCGTTCTTTTATATCTATATATATCATCTATATTTAATTTGGAAAACAAAATACAAATTTCTTACAAATCAACGGCGATAGAGCATGGAAAATGATTTTTTTACACATGATTCTTATCTCATCTTCAATTTTCGGTATGTTTTTTAATACTTATACTTGCTAATTGCTTTTTAGTCAGCTTTTTTTTGTTTAGTCATAACACAAATTTGCGTTGTGCTAAATGCTGTTCTGGTTTTCAATTTTCGGGGCTACAAGGCTATCAGACCGACTTGCTTGAAGAGCTCAATCAGGACATAGCATGCCCAATTAGCCGAGAGATATTTAAATTTAAAATAGAACCTTTTGCTGACGGGGTCAGCGTCCTCAGAACAACGTTTAGGCGTATTTGAATGCACTGAGTCAATCGGAAATTATTTGCACAAGTACTTAAAACATACGTGTATATGTATATTTGCAAAAATTTGTTTGCATAAAATATAAGAATATTAGTACGCTAATTAAATTTGGCAGCAAACGTTCCATCGAGTCACTGTGATTACCCATATCGAGGAAATGGTACATATAGAAACGAAACCAACCACAACTGGTATTGCGAATTTATGTTCAGAACGACAAGTATCATATAATGCGGTTTCCTTTCCAAATCGGAAAAGTAAGGATGCTCCACTATTTAAATACAACTTTTTCCACACATTTATAGAATACAAATAATTTAATGCAGAAAAATCTGATTAGTTTTTTGAAAAGATTAATTATATTATATTATATTATTATATATAAATTTAGATTTAAGTAAAAATATATTTGTATCCCTTTCGTGCTGTGCGAATACATACGACGGATGGTATGGAATTAATCCGACTGTGTAAATGCAAAAACGATTCTTGTCAAGTTCGAGCAAGTTCGTTGCCTAAGTCTTTCGTAAAAAATTTCCATGGCAATTAGACGAGCGATGGATAAAGCGCCCACAGGAAACTAGTTTCCTTTCACTTTGTTGCACTTGCCAGAACGGGCATCGAAAAGGATTCTGACTGCCAGCCAGTTGCAGAAAAAACTAGTTTTGATTGTCTCTGCATATCTTCGTATACATAAATACCTATATATGTATCTACGATTGCTGCTGAATCATCTTATTAACTCGTAATAACACTTCCTCGATGCGTACCTAATTGACGCATCTTCGTTCAAACAGTGACGCAGTATTATGAGATGCCGGACCTCTACGATCTGGACGACTACGATCGCTGCCTTCAGGAGTTTAGCCACAGCCAGCCAACCTATTGCTTCGTGCGCGCCGAGGTGCAACCAAATGAGAAGGCACCGGCTTGGCGGGCTATAGTCGACATATCCAAATACAATCGACACCACTTCGACCATCGCCACCTGTACTTTGGTATCTGTGTGCATGCCTGTGAGACGGCGCTCGATGATTTGAACGCCAATGAGACGCAGACCCTCTACGAAGGCACACTGAGTGACAACGAGAAGGTGAGTAAAAAAAAAGGCGAGTCGTTGCATTGTCTTCTTGTCTTCTTGATTTCTTATTTTTTAACTTCATCATCAAATGTTCACACATTCGTTTAATTCAATTTGTACGGTTTACCCAATCAACAAGCCAACAAATTGCACTCCAAACTGCATTAAAAACACCGCTGGCCGCTGCCCATTCAACGATTGCAAAACGATTTGGCTTCACAGACAACAAAAATGACGATTTTACATACAAAATTGAGCGCCGTTTCAAACGTCACGATGAATGACCAGACAAAAACGAAAAACGAATAAAAAAAAATACATCAAAACCCACTACGAAAGCAATGGCTAATACAAAACGACACCAACACGAGACAACGAGACAGACGTTTCAGAGGCTCAAACTTTGATAACAGCACAAAGTTTATTCAACTCGAATTAATATGCAGAGTTGGCGCAAAAGGGGGTCAGTCTGTATGACTGTTTCAGGGGAAATTAGCACACAACAAAATTGCCAACATAAGAAAGTGATGACGATAATGACACCTACAGGAGTTTTGTTGTTGTTTTTATATCTCAAAAATTGTTGTCCGAGTTGGGAGTATAATATGATAATACAGCTGCCAAATGAAATTCCTTATAAATTGAAGAGACCCCTAAAATAAGTAGATATAAAGTTTATTCTTTAATAATTATATGGATCTGTACATTACTTAAATAATTTTTGGATTTAAATGCAATTTGGAATTTTACGAAATCATTCAAATCCACTTATTTATAACTAAGCACTAAGCCATTAAAAGTTTTTACAATGAATACAAATAGAAATAGAACCACATTAGAAGTTTTTAACAACTGAAATTGTTAAGTGCTGCATTTAATTATTAAAAAGCAAGAATACCTTTCAATAAACCTAAACTGTTCCGAAAAATTTTAAATCTAAGCATAGATGAATTGCAATTTCCTTTTAAAAAATATTCAATTTAAAAAAAAAGTGTTTTTGGTCCAAAAACGAAAAATTGTACACAATTGAAATAGGTCTGATAGATGTAATTTTTATTTGCAAACTGGAGCTCAGTTAAGATTGAATTAATAGCCTCAAGTGGTATTTTATTTCTATGAATATTTCATCTAGATTGCATCAATCTATTTATGGTGTCTACGTAGTTATTTTTATGATATCCCCTAGCTATTTATAGGCCGCTCACATATTCCATGCATTTTTTCCATAAATTATGTCAACGTCAAGGAAAATTGAATCTTAAAAGATTTTCTGTAACTGCGATTTTTATGTCTCTACCTTCGCATAAAATGCATTTTATAAATGCCGCTGAAACCATGAACATCGTGGTCTTAGGTCCCATTAAGAGCTCACATACTCGTGTGTGCATGTTTTCGTTTGCTTTGAAGAGCTAACACAATATTGTAATTTCATCTCACGCATTTCTTTCAAGGTTAAGGCCTTGATACGGGCATCATATATCGATATATATTGAATATCATTTTGGTTTGTTTATTTCTGTTTGATTCATAGGTGAACGTGTATTTGGAATTATTCTCAGCCGAGGCGAGCAACCGGGCTCGTTACCAACGCCTGACCAATATCTGCATTAACTGGCGACTAAAGCAACGGGGATTTGGAGTACGAGCCAAGAGCGTGGTGGAATATTGCGACCAGGCTGAGAAAGTTGTCGAGGACGGTGGGTGATATTATAAAACATATATTTTTCTTCTTGTTATAGCGTTTTGAGCAACCCTATTAAACTGCAATCGAAACGCGAAGAAATCCGTATTTGAACCAAGATTAGTAAATACTGTTCTTTGTATTTCTCATAATATCAGACACATTTCAAAAATTATTTGAAAAAGTTGCTCTCTGCGTAAATGAAGAATACACGTAGGATCGTTTGTCCGTCTGTCCGTCAGTATGAACATCTATAACTTTTGAACCCTAACAGTTAGAGTAGTTCCAGTCATTGGCAGAGCAGGTTTATTAAAATTCAAGCAATTAATAATGACAAATATTGTGGCAACTCTTTCAGATGCCTGGAACCTGACATTCTTTGCGGTACTTGGTGGACTCGTGCTCCTAACGATTATGAGCAGCTTAGTCGATTTGCATTTGAAGCGTCAGCGTCATGACAAAATGTTAAAGGAACGCGATCATTATAAGACACCGCCCAAGAGTCGCGTACAGCAGGTGTTCCTCATCTTTTCGCTGGCACGCAATTGGTATCGTTTGAATCAGGAGCCCAATGGCAAGATTGGACGTGAGCTGCGTTTTCTCGACTGCTTCAAGTTCTTCGCCATGTTCTTGGTAATCTTTGCGCACACCAATTGGGTGATCTATGAGAGTGCGATCAGTAATCCGCAGGATCCAGAGCGAATGCTGCACACGGTTGCTGGTACGCTTCTTATTTCGGGTTCCCTCATCACCGTCACCTTCTTTGTCATCAGTGGATTGCTTCTGACCATCAATTGGTTGGCTGTGGCCAGACTGCAGAAGAAAACCTTGAGCTTGCTGCAATATTGCGTGCTATTTGTCAAGTTCAACGTATTCCGATATATCAGACTGACGCTGCCATATGGGTTCGTGTTACTTCTAAGCGGTGTCTATTTTGAAAATGCCGGTGGGCCATTGTGGCGACACATTTACGAACGAGAGCAGTTGGCCTGTCGCAAGAATTGGTGGATTAATTTGCTATACTTTAACAACTTTATACGCACCAATGAACGGGTAAGTATCCCTTCATTCTACTTTATGATCTCACTACATAATTATTTGTCCTATTTTTAATTTCAGTGTATGTTGCAAGGCTGGTATTTGGCCTCCGACACACACTCCTTCGTGCTGAGTTTGGTGCTGCTAATGTTGGGTCACCGGTTTCCAAAGTGGCGTAAACAGCTTTATGGCAGCGTTTTGGCCATTTTTGTAGCCCTGCCTGCTATACTGACCTACGCCTTGGACTACTATCCCATCTTTCTGCCCACGCCACAGTAAGATTTTATATGGTTTTTTTTTATTGAGGTCTAATATTTATTCATTCTATTCCCCAAAGAACCCAAAAGGACTCGTTCATCGGCGACCGCCAGTTCAACGAATTCTACACATCATTTCAAATGAATTTCGGTGCCTATTTCTTTGGCGTTTTAGCCGCTCTGGTTTACGATCAGCTGGCGCTTAAGCAGTACAAATTAAGGGAGCTATTGAGCTTCCAGGTGACGTGGTTCGCCCTCATACCCGTTGGCATTTTATGGCTTTTCTCAGCACATCCCATCTATCAGCATTACTACTCAGATTTGCCACTTCTTTGGGCCAGCATCTATGCGGCTCTGCAGCGAAATCTCTGGGCCTTTGGTCTGGGCATATTTATTGTGGGCATGGCTGCAAAAGTGGGCTGTAAGTGTTCATAATTAAGTGATTGTATCCCCATCCTAATGGTCTTCTTCTAGGGATTCTGCGCAAATTTGCCTGTCTACCAATATTTCGTATATTGGGTCGTCTGACATATGGCGCCTTTATAGTGCATCTGTTGGTTGCGCGTTTGGTTCTCAGCACCGTTCGGGAGCCCATCTACTTTGGAACAGGCATGATGGTGAGTATATGACATATTATGTCCAAAGAAGGGTCTTTAGATATATATTTTTTTCAGTTCTCCTACATTTTCTTCACGGCGACCGTCTCGTATCTTTGCTCGTTGGTACTGGCCCTATTTTTGGAGCTACCGGTTTCATCGTTTTTAAAATTGCTGCGTTAAATGGTAGCTGGGTAGTGCCTTATTATTTATGCTAAAAGACTTACTATATTATAGACTTAAGTAAATTAAAGAAACAAATTATAAGAATTTAAAAATGACAAATTCAGAAAAAAAACACGTTATTAATTTGATCTGCTTTGGTCAATAGGATATTTCTAATAGATTTACATTATATTTTACGTTCAAGTGATCAAAACTAATATTTTGAAAAGTTAATTCAATTTAAGGCCTTTTTTAAATGATAACTGTAGTCGTATCTTGGACATTATAAACAAATCAATCAAGTGATGAGAAATAAGAAAAGTATTTGTTTAGATTTATTTCATGGCAAGGGAATAACTTGTTTAACTAATATTCGTATCTGAAACATAACAGCATCTACTATATAACTTATCATTCAATAAAATTGAATACCATGGCAGAACGCTTTCCATTCCCCACTCGTATACTACCCTATAAGGATAGTGTACGTAACTATTTATATAAATCTCGATGAAGGTTTATTTTGAGAGTTAATTGATGACTTCTTTCCACTTACCCAGCTCCTATTTGGCTGTGCTCGTGCTCCGCTTCGCTGTGTTGACGCAGATTCAAGAAATACTTTTTGATGGCCTCGGCAGCTTGCTTATTAAGCAGCGGTTTAACATTTTGACGCGCAAATGCAATGAATTTCTTCATTAAAACGGGCGGTAACAAATCCAACTCAGCATCCTCAATAGCATTTAGTGCCAAACGCTTGTCGAGATCGAAGTCTTCCTGCATTATGCTATCCTCACCCTCCTCCAGAACGCCAAAAGTGCTTTCGCATATGGAGTCACAGCTTTTTGGTTTCAGCGAATAGCGAGCCGCAATGTGGGCCCGTTTTTTTGCACCAGCATGGAGGGCACGTACATGCTCAGTGAGCGAGACATCTCGTGCCATGTTAGTGGGCTTGTCTAGCAAAACATAAACCAAGTGAAATTCTTTGAGGAGAGCTGGCATAATGCGTATGTTCTGAAGCAGATAACGCTCCTGATGGTATTGACCACGTTGCGGATTGGCACTGGCAATGATCGAAGCATGTGCCTGGAAAGTGCCGAAACTGCCGGCAAGAGGAATTCCCACCACGCCCGACTGCATTGATTGCAAAAGCAGCGCTTGTTTGGATGCCAACTTGTCCACATCATCGATGGTGCAATGTCCTGTACTACTGGCCGATAGCAGAGCTCCCGCTTGCAGTAATCGTTTGCTTCGATTGACCAAAGTATGACCCAATTTCTGTGCAGATTGTGCACCACGCTTGCCACTGACGTGTGCCCCTCGCTCGGTGATTTGAGCACAAGATTGGAGCAGCTTGGATTTTCCTATGCCCGGATCTCCAACCAATAGAACATTGATGGGGCCATCCTCGTTCAATTGGGAGCCACCACTGCCGAAAAGCGAGAGAAGACAAGCCGCTTTAGGTATTTCATAACCATGCACCTCAGGCACTAGCGATTGCACTAGCAATTTGAAGCTATTTGGTTCGCTGTTAATCATGCTTATGGCATCCAAGTCGCGTTGACTGAATTCCCGCTTGACATGACAAGCTTTCTGCACAGACAATGCCCTTAAATAAGGCTGCATCTCGCCGCTGCTATTCCAGTCGCTCTCATCGCCCAAATTACGCAACTTGAGCACGCCAGTGATCACAACTTCTTGGCCCAGATGCACTGCATCCACCAGATCGTGGCGCAGTTCTATCTCCAAAGTAACCGGTAGTGTTGATTCGTAGTCTGGTAGGAGTGATAAGTTGGATTCCTCGATCCGAATAATTTGACGGGGAGCGAGGCGTGTGTAGGGCGAACTGCGCAGCTCAACAAAGTTATCCCTAGCCGTACACTTGGTCTGCTTGCAATTGTAAGGCTTCGGGAAATATTGACCTCGTCCGCGCAGTGCTTGTACCGCTCGGCAGCGTGTACACTGATAGGCACGCCAAGCGAATTCGTATGTGGGCTCCTCAATGCTGCTCACAATACCGCGTACAGCCATCATGGTGTCTACCCGAGCATGGGAGATGCTCGTCATACGTTCCACAGGCGCAAACTCCTCCGGACGCACATATATCTTCCGAGTGTGCATAGTACGCGGCACATACAGCATAGTGCTCGGTTCTTGTGGAGTTTGAGAATTAATCTGCTCTACGTGGACCTTCACAACGGTGTGAATGGCTGCGCCTAATGCGGCAAGGGTGCGCAATGGACGCTGGCGCATGTCTTCGGCCAGTGTGGGCCAAACTTCTTTCAATTGCTCATCATGTATTATACTACGGGACGGCAAGCAAAACCAACAAGATTCGTGTGTACCAGCCAGATCGTAGTTTGCCGGATTGCGTTGATAGTGTTCCCCTACAGCTTTTACACGCTTCGCCAACTCACTGTCGGCATCATAGACATCGCGCAGAAAGTACAAACGCCACCCTGGACATTCTAACGGATTTTCAACAAGTATACTCTGCAACTGCACGGCATCTTCTGGTGCCACATAATTCTCGGGTCGAAGATACGTACAATCAAGAGCAGCTGCTCGTTTTCGGGAATTATTACCACCGCCCCGAAATCGATTCCAGCCCCTTGCGCGAGTTGAAGGTCCAGGTTGACCTAATGGTTCTGCTCCCTCTGCTGCATCCAGAACTTGCGGCTGTCCGTGTGGATTTCCACCAGCCGGTATGACACGCCCTTTACGTCGAAAATAAAAGTACGGACGGTAGCCGCCACCGCCGCGAGCACGTCCACGCACAAAGCGCGATGGTGGCCTACCGGAAGGTGCATCCATTTCCTATCGCAAGCAAATTAGGTTTTAAAAAGAATCTCTTTAAATTGCACTCCCAATTAGCGCGCAGCTTTTTTCGATCGCACTTCGACTGCATGCAATCGATCCTCACGCTTTCCAGCACTGGCATACTTTTTCCGTTATAATGATACACATAAATGAAGTCGTTTAAAAACGATTTAATTTAACTACATAAGAGCATTCTAGTTCGAATTATTTTTCAGACTCAAGGACTTGATATTCTTTTCAAGTTCTTCAATTTGGCTGGGCAAAAAGTGCTTAAAAACGGCCTGAATTTTTTCCTTAACTTCTTTGAATGTTTCCAAAACCAGAGTCGACTCATCGCAATTTTCCGGCTTAACTAAGTAGAGCTCTTGCAAAAAGTCGACACAACCATCGAGAAGATGCATTTCTTCCAACTGCAGCTTAGACAATTTCATTCGCAGGTCAACAATTGCTGTAATATGGTCGTCAACGCGTTTCGTCATTGTCGCAATGGAAGCCATTTTCTCCTTATGTCTAGACTCCTCGTTGATTGGTTCGTGATCGCTTAGATCCTTAACATCAATGCCGGTGTCGTCATGAGTGGTACTTTCATTATCTGGAACCTTCGGCGAATTTGCAATGTCTCCAGCTAAAATCACTTTAGGATCTTGGGTCTCATCGTTGGTTTGAGATTCAACCTGTAGCGCATTTGGTTAAAAATATGTATTTTTGCTAATGCTAAAAGGCTTACCTTGACGTTCAGTTTTCCGGTTTTATATTTATTTTTCTTCGGCATTTCTTACTCCTTATCGTAGCACAACGAAAGCACTACTGACCGCTCAAAATAATTATCAGCAATACTTGCAGCGCCTACTTTCCTGAATAAAAATCTTTGTCATAGCTTACTTTGATTCTTAAAATAATATTATTTTTTTTTAAAAGCCCGCATTAGAAGTATTTCAACAATTCTTGACTAGTTGTTATCTTCACACCAGCGATGCCGAAATAAAACTTATTCGATGTATTATGATTAGATTATCGAAATAGTCGATATTACTTATCACTCTAGGGGGCTGGGTCGAAAACAAAAAGAAATTCCTATTTTAATCACACAAAAAAATATATTTTAATTAGCTTTTCATATTATTAATTATTATGCCGGTAAGTTCATGATAACCTATTATCCCTTATTAAATAATCATTCGTCGTTCAATCACTTGTGCAAGTTACAGTTGTATGCGGCAACAACAAAAGTAACACCATAACACAGCATTAAAAACGTTTCATTTTATTTTCCCACAGGCGTACCATTCACAAATTAAAGAGTTCCGCCAGCAGGTCGGCAACATGGCCATCTTACCTCTTCGCACACAGGTGCGGGGACCAGCGCCCAGTGCCAACATTGATAACGACATTATTGATGAGTCACTTTACTTCTTTAAGGCGAACGTTTTCTTTCGAACATATGAAATAAAGGTGAGCTGAACTAAATGGAAACTGGCCGCAGATATGTATATTAATTCAATTCTTGTGATGCAGTCGGAGGTGGACCGTGTGCTAATTTACATCACGTTGTACATAACCGAATGCTTGAAGCGGCTAACACGCTGTACCAGCAAGGCACAGGGCCAACAAGATATGTACAGCTTGGCCATTTCCAAATTCGATATACCCGGCGAGGCAGGGTTTCCATTGAACGCCGTTTATGCGAAGCCACAATCGGCACAAGATTCCGATCTGATGCGCCAATATTTGCTCCAACTGCGTCACGAAACTGGCAATCGGGTTTTGGAGAAGGTTTTTAATACAGACGATGGCAAGCCAAACAAGTGGTGGACTTGCTTTGCCAAAAAGAAGTTCATGGAAAAGAGCTTGGCTGGTCCAGGCCAATAATGAGGCATTTAATAAGAACTTGTATTATGTATTTATGTGGCATTTTTGCCGCATTCCATGTTTTAAGTCATTTGATTTGCGATGTTTTAACTTCAAATATATATCAACTACATAATTTACATATTCATACGTGTATTATTATCACGTTATTTTTATGCAGCCAATGGAACATATTTTAATTGATTATTCATTCTAAACAAGTATTCTATTTTAACAAAATTTAACGGTACAAATGGTCAGCCTGCAGATTGGATGCAATCTCCGACTCCCACTTATCGCCATTGCATAGCAATTTCTCCTTATTGTAGAGCAACTCCTCGTGCGTCTCTGTGGAGAATTCAAAGTTGGGACCCTCCACAATAGCATCGACAGGGCACGCTTCCTGCAAGTCAGTTGTTAAAGTCTATGTATTTAATTATTAGTCGTTACACGCACTAACCTGGCAAAAACCGCAATATATGCACTTGGTCATGTCAATATCGTAGCGAGTGGTGCGTCTGCTTCCATCAGCGCGCTCCTCAGCCTCAATGGTAATAGCCTGGGCGGGACAAATGGCTTCGCACAGCTTGCAGGCGATGCAACGCTCCTCACCACTTGGATAACGACGCAAGGCGTGCTCTCCACGGAAACGGGGACTTAAGGGTCCCTTCTCAAAGGGATAATTTATGGTAGCCGGCTCCTTAAAGATGTGTGCCAGTGTGACACCAAAGCCGCGGAACAGCTCACCGAAAAACATGGTGGTTGCTGCACGATCTGTGATTGCATCCAGCTCCATGCTGATCTCTTTGTTGTTTACGTACACATATCCCTTTGGCACCTCGACAATGTCTTTGGCTTCAGGCTTTTTGGCGGCCAACATGCGAGCACCAGTCGTACTGAACATGCGCTTACCTAAAATGAGCAATTACATTTGTATTGATTATAGAATTCAATAAGGTAAGTTGTAAAATAGCGAAATTGCGAATTCGAATTGTTTTGCTATGACATAAGGTTACATAACCTCACAAGTGCTTTTAATTGACCCGAATTTAACTTTGTTTCTATTGTTGACAGTCTAAAAATACCATAATAACTGCTGTGAACTAACCATTGCGCGATGCAGTAAAAATTCGCATTGTAACCGACATGTCAGCGGCACAATTCTCTGGTTTTCTGAAACAAATTTATTGTTTAGTCCCAGAGAGAGATGGGACTGAGGTATTATAGTTTCGATATTACGTACAATTTTCTGGGCTATCGACTTTCACTGCTACTATCGAAATTTTTAAAGTTACCCACCATTAGAATGTACAAAATATTTTCTACCAGGCACATTTAATATCGCAGGCGGCCTTTTTTTGCAATATAAGGATCATTATTTTATTTTCTTGTACATATTTTGCTTAAGTAAATATAAGATTAATAAACACAATCTAATTTGAAAAATAAAATGAACCCCTTGATATGAAAGTCATTTTGACAATATAAATGACAATACTAATCATTCTTATTTTAGAGAAAAATATTTTTTAAAAAAATAAAGAAAATAGTTTACAAATTTGTTTTTTTAAAGAGATAAACTAACGCAGCAGTAGGATCCATGCCATATACATATGTATGTATCCATGTACATACATACATATCTAGCCTTTTCCCTGAAGGCAAAATACAATGCTCAGAAAAAATTACATTTTTCACTGAATAAGGTAAGACATATTCGTATTTTAAAGTGTTATTCACATTCACAACACAACTGTATTTATTTTCAAGATTTTTTAAGTGATATAGGAATTCCATTCCGGATTACTGTATAATTAATTAACTTTTATTTGACGGAAAAGTGTTCAAAATAAGTACATACACTTGGAATATTCAGAAGGAAATCAATGTGAGATCCAATTTTCCGTTAGCAAAAATAACAATCATTTTTTATTAAATTACAGTGCTGGACAAGCTTCTTTAATGATGGCAGACCTTACATATCTGGACAGTCTTTCCAATAAGGAATTGCACGAACAATGCCTGATAAATGGGATGCCCAATATTCCAGTCACAGACACTACCCGTCAAGTTATGATGGCAAGACTAAATGCTAAAATTAAATCTCATGTTTGCAAAACCATAAATTTCAATGAACTGAAGTCTACTCAAGCAGAGGAGGTTCCCTCGACCAGTGACGTCAATCAGATGACAAGCCGCAAGAATGAAACATGTTTATATGGCGCTATGGCCGCTGGTCCCTCTTTTAATGTAGCCGAGATATCTTCAGTTCGCACAACAAGGTCTCAGAAGGTTCAAAGCGAACTAGCTACACAAACAACCCCGCCCACACTTGCCAAGACGGCCATCTTAACCACTTCGCTTACATATCAGGAAGTTCCATCTCATCCCCTTATTGCCGACAATACTAATGTAGGACATTATATTTATAAACGTAGAGGTGCTATTCTATACCCTCAACTTACAGAATTTCTTGGAAATGAGCCAATTGAAATGGATTCGAATAATACCGAGGCACACCGGCCAGTAATAGATTCACCATATATGAAGAAAATTAGAGATAAGCTTTCGGCTGCCGGACGCCCAATTTTGTCTCGACCTCAATTGCGACGCAGACTAATATCTGAGCTGGACAACGAAGAATATGCAGACCAGCAAGTGTCTACACCTGCTGTTTCGTCAAAACATCAACTAAACGTGCAACAATACTTAATTATAGTTATATTAGTCATATTGATTGCATCTATGTATGCCATGTGCTGCTATTAGAATAAATTACTGTGATTTTCGAGAATGTTCATTCATTCCCTATAGACTCCGAAACCGCACAACCAATTTTGAACAAATTTTGCGGCAATATTCAAAATAGTCTCGTGGGTAATGCTGTGAACTTTCGCTTTGATTTGTTTTTAAATTCTTCATTATTCATTATACTTGTAACTCATGATTTCTAGTAATTTCGAAATCCCACTGAATTTGCTGGTTATCGTAGTTATTTTTGTAGGTCCATCTCTATTCAAACCGCCAGAAGTCTGAAGTATCGATATCTTTAAAAACAAATATGGAACGCGCTCACCTCTACTCCAGACACAGTTTGACAGCTGAAGAACAAACATTACGCTTCAATTTATAAACGCGTTTCTCTCATAAATATTTATTTTTTCTTTGGTGAAGTCAAGAAATATTATAATTCACAAACTAAACCGTGGATTCATCACCTTTTCTAAACTAAGACTGTACTAGAAAGGCACGCCATATCCATAAAAAATTCAGGTGAAGTCAGCGCATTTGTGTGTTGAAAGCAACAGTTTTAGAATGACGACATCGCTATTTTTGTTTTTATTTACAGCATTTCACAAGTGTTTGTAACCATGGCGGACCTTTCATATCTGGACACGATTTCCAACAAGGAATTGCATAAAAAATGCCTCGAATACGGTTTGCCCAACATACCTGTCGCCGACAGCAGCCGCCAAGTTATTTTAAAAAGGTTAAAGTCTGCGATACTAGGAGTGCCTGTTAACAAAAAAGCTACGGCAGCAAAGAAAACGCCGCGCCGCGAAACCATACACGGCAGTAAAGTGACACCTTCTCCAGCAGCCGCTGCTATAGAGACCAGCAATGTAAAACGAACTGCCAACCGCAATAGTAACAACAGCATAAGCAGTCGTCGAACCATAGGCACTGTTCCATCTTTTGACAATTCCGAGACCTCTTCAGTGCGCACCGTTCACACTACAACAACGGTGTCAGATGTAGACTCGCAGTCAGAGGAAGATGACAATTACAATTCGATATATAGACAAAATGAACAATACTCGCAGATTAAACAAACAGCACCACGTCGCTCGGTCTCGCTTTCGAAATCTGGTGTGTTGACCACTTCATATACGCGGGAGGTCGATCCATTAGAGCAAGAACCGCGTGACTCTGACATTGACGCGCCTCAGAGCCATACCTATGAACGACCACGTGCCGCAGCAGCGCATATGTTGCCCAGCTACGAGCCCGCCATAGAACGATCAACGTATCGACCACGCTATGCAGGACTCCCCAAAATACAACCCCTGGCACAAACTCAACTTAATTCTACAAGTTACTTTGACGATGGCGGCTATGAATTGCCGGAACATAATGTGCCGCGCAATACATTCAGTGGTTCGTCCGCGCCTTTTGGCCATGGCAGCACTTTGGGATCGTCAATAAGGCAGCGACAAACTGGCGGAAGCTCAAATCTGGGAGGCAGCATTGCCAGAGGCGCATTGTTGCTACCAACAACTAAAATCAGAGGTCTGTACTCGCAACCAGAAACAACCAAGCCGAACACTTTATATCCAGAACTCAATGAATTCTACGATAATCGCAACCCCGATACTGTGGAGCCCATGGACACGGATAGCGACTCGGATGGGTATGATACGACAGCACAACGAACACCTTTTGAAAAACCATATTCAAAGAACTATTCGCAGAAACTGAGTAATGCAAGACGTTCTCCTTTGGCCAGACCCCAACTACGTCCCACTATAATACCTGGGGAACAGGAATCTCTAGTTGATCAGTTTCGCAGAGTTTTCAATTCCCTCGATCGTCAATATCATCTTAAACTTTACTTATTCATAGCTCTGACAGTGATATTATTGACGTTCATATATGTCTTATTTTCACCATCAACTTAATGCCTAGAAAATGTCTAAATTAAAAATTCTTGACATGTTTCGATCAGTTTCGGTTCTACGATATAATTGCAGTTATTGTTGCTAAAATAAATGAATAAAACTTTTGCATTTGAAATCGTAACTAAGTCGCTTCATAAATCACAACTGACGTGGCTTTTGAAAAAGAAAAATGAAAATATCCGATACTCATGTATGTATGTCATGTTTATTCATTAAGCCGATAAAATTGGTACGTGCTTATATATTTTCCCAAGTAATAAATAAATGCACGCGAAACCGCTACATATATATGTATATTCTCATTTATTTTTATTTATACATAATTATTAGAAAAATGTACTACATTATAATTATAAAATAAACTAATACAATTTTTTTCATTTTCGGCGATTTGTTGCATTCACTTTTCTAAACATTTTTTGTCTTTATGCTACTATTTACACGCTATTAAAGGGGAGAGAGGGTAAAATCTGAACCTTTTGATATTCGCACACATTTGTAGCTGCGAAATTCTAGGTGCGTGTGCGTTTATGTCTGGGGATCAGGGTAGAAATAATTGAGGAAATGCGGACTTGGTAGGACATGAGAGCTTTATGTCTTATTAATTTACTGAGTTGAATCACAACAAAAATTTTACAACAATGGCAACAAAGCTATTAATTGAAATGGAACTTGAACTGGAACGGTGACCCATGATGGAAGTGCGCAAATGGGTGTTCGCCACGGAAGCCATGCTGATTGCTCTCTGGATCCAGGGGATCTTCTCCATTGTCGAATTGCCGGCGCTTCTCTGGATCTGTGAGCACCTCCTTGGCGGCTGCGATGTCAATAAATTTCTTCTCCGCCACCTTTTTCTCCTCGTCCTTAAAGTTATCGGGGTGCCATTTTTGTGCTGCCTTACGATATGCTTTAACAATCTCCTTTTTGCTCGCATTGCGCTTAACCCCTAATATCTTATAATAATCCCTACGCTCTGCTTGCTTTTGCAGTCTTTTTGCCTTCTGTATGCCCTCCTTGGCGCGTGCATTTGTTTCGTCCATGTCAAGAGCAGCTTGGAAGTCGTGTATGGCATCGTCATACATTTCAGAGCCCAGAAGCGCCTCGGCACGATCACAGTAAACTTGCGCATCCTTGAGAATGTCGAGCGCCTGTTTGCACTGCGAGAGAGCCTTGCCGAACTCCTCCTCGCCAGTGTAACAAGCGCACAGAGCCTTGTGCGCTTCATATCGTATCATTGGCTCCTCTTTTTCGTGCTTCAGTACCGCCTCACCAGCGGCGACACAATCAGCAAAATTTTTCTGTGCTCGGGATTCCTCGGCCGTCACCAATTGTTTCTCTACTTTGCGCAGCTTTTTGTAGAATGGGAAGCAGAGTTTGTGTTCGGGATCGAATTTTAAACACTCCCGTATTTCTTTTAGCGCATTGGTCGCGTGGCCAATACCATAAAGCAGCTGAGCAATGTTGTAGTGTCCTTCCGTACTGTCCTGTGACAGACGATTCACCTGCCGCAGGTCCGCAATGGCAGCCAACGGATCATTCACTGCAATGTATGCATCCGAGCGTGCTTGTCTAAAGGTTGTGCTCCAAGGTGAAACTTCCAGTAGCTGTGTAAGCATTGCAATGGCATTCTGATGATCCTCACGTCTAATTAAATCCTGCACTAAATCCCATTGATCAGCAGCGGGCTTAATACGAGAGAAATGCTCATAGACAACACCATTATTGGGCTCCTCTTGCAACACTTGTTCGAAGTCTGACATGGCCAGTTTATAGTCCCCACTCTTCATGTACACCACACCACGTTGGGTGCGCGCAGCTGTGAAATCTGGTTTTAGTTCCAGTACTCGACTGAAATCCAGAATGGCAAAGCGCGTCTTGCCCAATGCCAGATAGACAGTGCCGCGCTTGAAGAGCGTCAAATAGCTGTTCGGATCGCCCTCTACAAGCCAAACACAAGCGTTATTATTAGCATCATATCAGATTTAGATCTTGAGTGGTTCTACTCACCAACAGCGGCATGGTAATGTGTTAGCGCATCCGATAGCTGTCCACGTGCCAGAAATTCTTTTCCCAGCTCCAAGTGATTCTCAATATCGGCCTGATTGGGTACCGCCTCGGCGCCTGTAGATAGACAATAATGTTTATTCACAATGTGTGAGAAAATACATTTAAATATTTTATAACCACATACAAATGCAAGCTCACCTTCAAAAAATAGCTCCAGAAGCAGCAATAAAACACAGGCCGCTAGTTTTTTTTCGCCACCTCCAAATGGCAGCAAATCATTTAATAGCACAGCCATGTCTTTACAAAATTTTGACTGTTTTTGCTGTGTGTGTTTTGTGGGCGTGTGTGCCCGTTATGTGGGCGTGTGAGCCAGTTGTGATTGACCAAAAACCGCAATCGAAAAAAAACACACGTCAGCCAAATCTGTGCGTGGTAGCTACACGTATAATGACAAAGGCTTATCTCCGCAATATCACCAGGTGCTCAATTGTTGTTGCTCAATGCGTTTAGGCTAATTCGCGTCCGTTTATGGTCAGAAATAATTTTCCGGGAGCTGGTGTGCGTATGTGTCTGTGTCTACCGCAGGCGGCTCTTTGTTTTTGACTATGAAATTGTTAGACAAAGTGTTGCTTTGTTTCCATTTGCATTACTGTTGCTCTCCGATGGCGTCCTATGAAATATATGGGCCTATTTTTGGAGAACTTTCTGCTTAAATTAAGTAAATCTAAACACTGACGTGTTTTATAGCAAAAATTATAACTTATGATATTGTACAGCACTAAATTTATCGGCGTGTTCCCGACACTAACGTTACAGCACTGCCAGGCGTAAATATTTTGCATTGCCATAAATCTGCAACCTTTTGGATGGCGCGCAATAAAATGTAAAAACCTTTATTCTTTCAAGTTTTTATTTTTGTTTTGTAAATACAATCTTTGTTTCTTAATAAATGCATATGCTTTTTCTTTTGAGCTATATATGTGTGCTTGCCTTTTGTCTATATTGCTTTCAAAGCTTTCTTCTGCTAATTCTATCACCAAAATGGTCACCAGTGGTCGTTTACATTATATTCGAATCATTTTTATATACGTGTATGTATTAAAATATACTAGATAGTTGAGAGTGCATTTAGATAGTATAAACGTTTAAATTTATGGAAGATTTAGTAGTTAAACTTTGATGTGCACTTGGGCTAACTACTTCTAGAATTTGATGGAGGGTATTGATAAAGTTTCTAATTTTAGTTTTAGGATTCGATAAAAAGGAAGAACGTCCTGCGATTCGTTTGCAGCATGTAGTGAGTTAGGAAATCACAATATTTATCAACTCATCTAGCGGATAATCCTTTGAGCGTGCATCGTCATGAGCTTTTTGCATGTGAGCTTAAATAAACAAAAACAAGAAAAAATTATAGAACGAAAATATAGTACGAGTACATATTAAGTCTGTATACGAACTTTTGAACTTGATGTGCGTTACAAAAGATTCCTGGCACAAATCACATTTATAATAGGTTTTGCCCGTATGTACTCGCTCGTGTAACCGCAGAGACTTTTCAAATAAATAGGCCCGACCGCATATCTGACACTTAAAGTTCTTCTCGAGCACTAAATTAAATAATTCAAGAAAATTCAATAAAAATTTTAGCTAAATATATATCTCACCCTCATGACTTCGCATATGCTGTGTGAGAACATATTTCAGGGCAAACGATTTTCCGCACACATCACAAACATTTGGCTTCTCATTAGCGTGAGTCTTCATGTGCCACTTTTTATCCTGTGGCCGCTTAAAACGCTTCGAACAATGTGGACAAGGATGGGGACGATCTATGGAGTGAACTGCCAAATGACGCTCCAAAGCCGATTTCATATTAAAGCGCTGCGTACAGTTTCCGCATTGGAAGAGACCCGAATAATGACGCTCCCGTTTCTGCTGAAGCACCCGCTTATTGTTGGCTATAATGGGCGTGGCAGCCTTCCGTTTCAGATGCTCCTCACTCATGTGCTGGATCAGCTTCTGTTCATTCAAATATTGCTGCCGACACAACATACACTCGCTTCGCTCTATGGCGGTCAAGTTTTCTGAATGCTTCTCCAGCATGTGAATCCGTTTTTCCGCATAGGAAGCAAAAACTGCAGGAACAGGAGAGTCACACAATAAAATAAGCAGACTGAAGTAGATAAGATATTCGCTAAGGGGTTCTTCATTCAGTCGATTATCAGATTATTAGGTTTTTGTTTACTAAATCTTTAACAAAGTAAGTACATACATACTATATGAAAGTGAGCGTTCATTTTATAAAAAAAAGTTTATTTTTTCGATTACAGGGTGTATTCAAAAATTGAAATAATTTGCACACAAACTTGTAGACCATAAAAATTAGTATTCAATAATTTGTAAATAAATACATTATTTTTGGCTATTTACTTTTAATAACTTGATAATGCGACTGTAAACACCCCAATATTATTTATTATTTTTGGGTGAGATGAAATAGAAATGGTGTTATGGATTGGATGAATGTGTTCATGCTATTGTCCGGTTCGGTTGGTTTTATTTTTATTACTTTTGGGGGGCGTACGAATACTGTGGATTTGAATGGTTATTTGGTGAATTAACTGCTAAAGATGTTGCTAAAATTTGAAACAAATTTTAAAATATTGTTTTATTATCGGCGTGCATGCTTAGCTAGAAAAGTATACAAAAAAATGATGGCTTATGGCTAAGCCATTATGATTACCGTTATAGCATTTCTTATTTTCAAATGACTAACACACTAATAAAGCAGCAGTTGACTTCACGATCTATACAAATCTTAAATAGCGTTTGATGAATGTTTGTTTGATTCTTTGTTGATATGACAGATTGAAATTATTAATAAATAATAACAAATTCGTATATGTTTGCGAAAGGGCGCTTAAATTTTGCAAATGTTGATTATGGAAGCACAAAATTTAAGACTCTTTCATACGCACATTAGCCTCTGCTTTCGATTGATATCGTTGATGAACATATTCTAGATTTAGATGAAAGCGATTTTCTAGCCCTTTCTATAGTATATTGCAGCACAGGCTAATGTGCATAATCTGGAACAGAATCGACATACCCTCCGTACAATTGCCACACTTGAAGGGTTTCTCGCCACCATGTTGTTTATAAATATGCCACCGTAATGTCTTCAGATGTATAAAAGCTGCAGATGATGGGATTATCTTTAAGAGCATTAGTTTCTCATCGTCATCTACTCACACTTGTTACAAAAACTACAGTGTTCGGTATTCCTCGTACCCGTGTGGGTTTCCTCGTGACACTTTAGATGTCGCTGATTGATGAAAAGACGATCACAGTATCCACACTTGAGTTGGCGTTCCGGATTATGCCACTTCATGTGGTAGTTGAGACTTTTGCGTGTAAAAAAACGTTTCTCACACATATTGCACTCAAAATCCGTTTCCGTATGATACTTCTCCACGTGGTGGCGCAAATTATGACGATCCCCATACTTCTTCCCACACACATCACAGGCATAATGCTTCTCCACGTGGGCGCTTTTTATGTGTACTGTCCGTGAGGCGGCATCCTGAAAACATTCATTGCATTCGATGCAATTGTAAGGCTGCTGTGGATCATGAACAGCATTTATGTGTTCCAGGAGCTCCTGTTGGAGTTGATAGCTCTGTTGAGGCTTATAGCAATATTTACAGGCATACGTAATCTCATTAATTGCGACTTTATCGTCAACTGTTGCATTTTCACAATCAAATGTCTCTTCTATGGCTTCCGCAAATATTCCAAAATGCTGATCTAAAGAAATATGATCTGCGTTTGTCGTTGCCATCGTTGCACCATCAACTGTTGCTGTCTCCGTTTCAGTTGTTGGCTGCAATACATTTGAGGTGGCAGTTGCTGCAACATCTTCGGCCTCTTCATCGTCTTCGGTCTTATCCTCCAAGCTACTCGCATCGATTTTATCGTAAATATTCGACAGCTTTAGCTGCGCATCCTGACAGGCCATACGAAACGTATAAATTGAGCAAAATTTCGTAAAACAATCGGTACATATTTTCTGCGGCAATCCATCATTTGGAAATATCTGAGAAGTGGTGAGAAAATGGACAGTTATTAATAGGTCTTAAATACTTTCACAAATCATTTATTTCTCTCTACTAAGCTAACTAAGCTCCTGTGATTGTGATGAAAAGTTTGAAACATAAAATCCACTTTAAAGCTTGACTTAGACTTAAACCTTTTTCCTTTCCCCAACCTTTACTTTCAAAAAGGACCATTAAAAAAAATGCAATAAAGTTCGTATTTACTAAAGAACTAATAAAGCCTGGTTATTCGATTTTTATACTTTTCTTGTTTTTATCGCTGCTTTTTACAACCCGAATTTAACTCGTCTTAAAGAAACATATCTCATATCTCCATTAATATTATTTTATTTTTAAAAATTCATTTGTTTTTTTTTTTAGTTTCTCCGTAGCTTTTAAACTCTAATTATAGTTGTTCAATATAATTAATCCTAATTAATATGAATAACTGATATATGCATTATTATTCACTATTTTAGCAAACTAAAAACAGAATAATTTAGATCAGCCCGAATCTAATAATTTTTAAATTCATTTGTAACTTCTAACCACTTTTATTAATTATTATTTTATCTCAGAAAATGTAACCATTTTTTAAATTATAATCAAAGATTTCATTTAATAGAGTGGATTCTCATACGAGCTCTAAAAAAATAACGGCCATTAAAAAACTAATAAAATATTTTAAGCAAAGGAATTTATGCTTCTAACAAAAGCAGCTAATGGAATGCCTTTTGGGCTTTTGAAAATAATAATTACTAAATTTTTTTTTAACTTTTTATACCGCCTGTTATTTTGCCTCACCAATTATTGACAATTTATAAAATTGTTTGTCAACAACAAATTATCAAATTTACAAATCACTGTCGCTTCATATAATCGCTTGTCAATTGACGTTTAATCGCCAACACCCACGGTTAGCGCAGTTAGTTGTGCCAATTATTTGCATGTTGGCCGAGTCTAATTTGGAAGGGTTCACTCACCTTTAGTTTCCAATTTGCGAACTCGCAACGTATTTGCTTCAGTATCTCAATATTTTCTATTGCTATTTCGCTTTGCCAGCAACGCGTTGGAGTTGGATGGAACAAGTCCAGCCAATAGTTGTTGTCGAAATCGCATTTCGCACAGGTGCGACACGTTTCCATGGCAAGCGAGCATTCAACCAGCAACAACAACAACAGCAATGAACACAATAGCAACAACAGCAGAAACTTCCATGTGCTGTTTGTAAATAATTATTATGCAACTTCAGAAGTTCCGTTTTATACACACGCCCCAACTCTCTGAGGGGTTTGTTGTTGTTGTTGTTGCTTGTGCCAATTCTGATACAGCTGCCTAGGATGGGTAAACATCTGTGGAGAATGTAGAGCTTTTTCTTGTGCAAAAGAACGAAAACAACAGTTTAACAACTGCTGTGTGTGTTGCCCTTAAACGCTGGATGCTGACTGCTGACTGATGCACGAAACCTCAGACAATGGGAAAACTTTTGTGTCTCTACACCAGCGGAAAAGGCGATGGCGATGGCGAAGGCAGCAGAATTGGCAACGGCGACTCCTCGTTAATAACATCCTGCGCCTGCTGCCTACGTTGCTGTTGTCTGAAGCGCACTCCCGCCTGAACTGACCTTCAATATGGGTTTAAGCTGTGCCGAGAGTGTTGAGAGATTTAATGGGTTGCATATTTCACTCACACCAACAACAAATTGTGTACGTGAGCCCTCTTTTATGAGCATAACAAACTTTTCCTCACACTCTCACAGTCAGCTGTTCGCTCTGTGTGTGTGCATGTGTGTGATTCTGCTTGTATGTACTTGTACTTGCGCAAAAGCCCAGTTAACACACACACACACACACACACACACACACACATAAGTCAGAGCTCTTGGAATTCGCAAACAAAGCAAAGCTTGAGAGTAAATGGCAAACTGAAGGCACCGAAGCAAAGCCTCACACACACACACATACATATATATTGCATATTATAAACATATGTACGAACATTTTTCTATGTGAAAAGCCCACAGATAGGTCAGTATTTGCAGTTTATTAACCTCGCAAACTTCTTTCTTGGCAAAGAAAAGTAAACAACGCCAACAGAGGAACTTCAAAATATATTTTTGCATTCAAAAATGCAACGATCTGCCCCATTGGATCTGCATTAACAATTGTTAATTCATTGGAGGAATACAACACAAAAGGAGAAGGCTCTCAATTCAACTGTATATTTTTTTTAATATTATTTAATTTAGAACTTTCGATTGGGTAAACCGATTTTGATGATTCTCTTTTATTTGAAAGCTGTTGCTTCCAACAATGGCATCCATGAGAAAACTACCTTAAAGATACCTCATTCTGTTTAGTCGAAATAGCTGAAAAGACTATTCCTGAACACGATATTGTTACTTCAGAATCATCTTCGAAACAATTTGTCACATTTAATGTCTGTATGCACGGATTCAAAAGGCAATATTACTCGGATCATTAAATCAATGTGATTTACGATTTAGTTTATCTTGAAGTACGCAATGCACCGGGATAGCGGCTGTTGCTGCTGCAGCATGCACTTTATTAGATTAAAAGTCGGTTTTCTTTATGTTAACAGTTTACTGGTTGAAACAAAAATCATTTGGTCGGAAATTTGTGTGCTCTCCCCAAAGGATAGTTGGTCATTACAGGGTTAAATAAATTAAAATACTAATACAATAAATGGCACGAAAGGGGGATAGGGGCAATATGTAGATTTGGAAATGACAAAAGAAAATGTTCATAAAAATATTATTGAGTTGTAAGTACTGAAGTTATGAACATATGAATTTTATATGTCTTAAAGAATATTTAATGATTTTGTCAAGCGAAGACGAAATTGAGCCTATAGTTACAAAATTAAGCTTCTTTATGGAAATATTATTGGTTACTGCAAAGTAAAACTTAATTTAAGCTATCCCGGTTTTAAATTCAAAAATTTAATTTAATAATCTGTTTTTTATTCTTCAGTGTATGAGAAAAGATCTGCTTGAAGTCAAAAATTAGGGCTTAATACTTATTTTCTTTCCGAATAAACATTCGAAAAGTTATCCAACTTACAGTCAACATACATAGTATGTAGGAAATACTTTGCCGCCTATTTTAAAAAAAAACTTGCTATCGAGCTTTCTGGACTTGAACATTAACAATTTTTCAAATTTAATTCAGTACTTCTAAAAATGTAATGTACGCGGTGTTTTCAATTTTTTTTAAATGTTGCCATTCACAATTGAAAGGGCTGCCGTACTAATACATTTGAGCGCTTTTACGTTATTGCGAGGGATGGCATCAAGGTCGATTCATTATCAGGTTGTCCCATAAATCAGCTGATGGCAGCACTGCCAGCTTTCAAGTTAGAAAAAAATGTATTCAGTAGATACAAAACGTTCTACCTGGAAGCTGGACTAGTCCCATAATTTTTGCAAATTTATACGGTTGGTATACTAGTCTGCTCTCGCTCTTTCCAATTGAAGTTGTCGTAAGGCTAATATTGCTATACCGATTTTTAGCACTTCCAGGTCTCTTCTTTTAGTCCAGTGTCATACGAGTATTATACAACACAGTATAACAGTAGAAGCGCCAACACTGCTGTGTACTAATCAATTTAAAGTATATAACTACCACAAATCATTGCCAAAACAATGAGTCGACTACTTTTGCAAAATCACGGTGCTATGTATCGTACATATACATGTACATATAACGCCGCCGCGATGTCTACCATGGCCATTCTGCCGCAGTCAACGCCAACGCAAAAGTTAACGCAGCGGCTGCGCCGTAGTCAGCTGGAAAAAAAATGCCCATCATCATCCCTGCCATTCTCGACAAAAGCTTCACTGACAATAGATCGCAAAATGGCTACGCAAGCAAAATGTTTGCAATTGGAGAACATAAACCCCAACTTTATTACGATGGAATATGCAGTGCGTGGACCATTGGTGATTCGTGCTGGCGAAATAGAAAAAGAGTTGCAAAAGGGGGTAAAGAAGCCATTCGATCAGGTAATTCGAGCCAATATCGGCGATTGTCATGCCATGGGACAGCAGCCCGTCACCTTTTTGCGCCAATTGCTGACACTGACGTTTGAGCCAAGATTGCTTGACTCCCCAGACTATCCCGATGATGTCAAGGAACGCGCGCGTCTCATTTTGAGCGATTGCCATGGGCACTCTGTTGGCTCATACACCGACTCAGCCGGTCTGGAGGTGGTGCGTCGCCAGGTTGCTGAATATATAGAACGTCGAGATGGTGGCGTGGCCAGCGATTGGCAGAACATCTATTTGACTGGCGGTGCCTCTCCAGGCATTAAGAGCATACTGTCGCTTATACACTGCCAAGTGAATGGAAAGACTCCAGGCGTTATGGTTCCAATACCTCAATATCCACTCTATTCGGCCACCATTGCTGAGTATGGCATGGTGAAGGTGGACTACTATTTGGATGAGGAAAGCGGCTGGAGCCTTAATCGCGAGGAGCTGCAACGCTCCTTTGATGAGAACAAAAAGCACTGCAATCCACGAGCTCTAGTCGTCATTAATCCGGGCAATCCCACCGGCCAAGTACTCACCCGCGACAATATTGTGGAGATTATCAAGTTTGCCCACGACAACCAATTGCTGTTGCTCGCCGACGAGGTGTATCAGGACAATGTGTACGACAAAAACTCCAAGTTCTATTCGTTCAAAAAAGTTATGTACGAGATGGGCGAACCTTATCGCAATCAAGAGCTTGTCAGCTTCTTATCAACATCGAAAGGTTATCTGGGTGAGTGCGGCATACGCGGCGGTTACATGGAAGTGTTGAATCTTTGTCCTCAAGTCAAAGCTATGCTTACAAAGTCCATAACAGCGGCTTTGTGCAGTACTACCGCCGGTCAGGTAGCTGTCAGTGCTTTGGTTAATCCTCCAAAGCCTGGCGAGCCATCGTATGAGCGTTTCATTAGTGAAAAGAACGCCACTTTGTCCGCCTTAAAAGAGCGTGCAGAACTCGTTCACAAGACATTGAGCGGGTTTGAGGGCTACAAGGTTAATCCTGTACAGGGTGCCATGTACGTGTTCCCACAAATTGAGATTCCACCCAAGGCCATTGCTGCAGCTAAAGCAAAAAATATGGCTCCGGATGCATTCTACGCATTTGAATTGTTGGAATCAAGTGGCATTTGCATTGTACCTGGCAGTGGATTTGGCCAGAGACCAGGTACATATCATTTTCGAAGCACGATCCTCCCACAAACAGACAAACTGAAGCTGATGATGGAGAAATTCCGTGTATTCCATGCCGAGTTCATGAAAAAATACAAGTAAAGTAATATTGCCAAAGAGCATCCTGTGTTAAAGCTTTTGAAAAATATTTTTGTTTCTCAGTCCAAATATGTATGAATTTAATAGTAATCCTTATTACTTGTGTTAATTATAGTTGTGTGCGAATTTACCGACATACATGCATATACTCTTATTTAAATGTTCGAGATTTTACATACATACATATACATATATCGCTTTATACATATAAAGTCGATTTGCGTTATCAGACAGTTTACTACGCTTCGTTTTTCGAAAAAATCCCTAGTGTTTATGCATTTACCTATAGAGTGTTGTTAATATGTTTACCTGTTCGATATTTAGTTGAACTTATTGTCTGAGAAGAGGTGACAATAAATATATTGATTAATATTTACATATTAAATTGAATTTTTTTCTTAATTTTAAAGGAGTGCATTGGAATTTTGTACTTGCCTCCTATTCTTTCGATGAGGCGAGCAATTGTACATAACCTTTGAGGGCTTTATATGTAGGTTCATTCCGCAAATAGGATTTAAAATAACAAAAGATTTATTTTTGAAAGCAGAAACAAACATTACAATGTTTTGACTGGTGGCAGTTGACAGTGTTGGTAAATGTTGCATTTTGAATTAATTGACACGCAAACAAGCTTTTCGAAAGTCGAATGCCTAGTTCGAATAATTTTTTACATTAACTTCAACATGCTAAAAACATTCAAAAAATAAAAACCGAAAAGCATGAATTTGAAAATCTTACAATTTATCAATCTTCCAAACTATTGAAATACCTTTTTCTTATATATTTTTAATGAAATTCAAATATTTACGTTCGTTATAACTCAACATATTTGGAGAACATCATTCTTTGTTTAATTTACTCGCGTTTTTTGCCTGGTGGAGTAATTTTTATGCTCATATTAGGTTTATTGAACCATTTTATTTTATTATTTTTCTGTGTCCAGTTCACACTTGTTTTAAACAACTATGAGTCCTGGTTGGACAATTTTATGATTGGTTGCGTTTTTTCTTAACATTTTGCAATCCATTTCTGTGGTAAAATTCGAAGCTGTGCTAAAAGTGCAACTTGAATAATAATTTCACTAAAAATATAATCATAATAATAAAATAAGTCTTTTTAACAACATAGTAAACCATTTTCTTTCTTACAAGCACCATCAAAGCAACGATTTCTTTGTTTTAACAGTTTTTTCAATTTACAGAAATAATTTATTATTATTTATAGATACTATTTACAGTTCTTTACGTTAAATTTCTAGACTTAATTTAAATTACAATTTAATAACCAGTGCGTACTCAAGCATTTTGTAAGGTCACGAGCATGCAAACATTTAACAGACATCTCTTACGTATTGGCAGGTAATATACCCAAAGCCTGCAAGCACAACTTTGCCGCATTGAGTTTAGCTTCCTTCTTGGTGCTAGAGGCCTGCGCCGGCATATATGACTGTCCATTCACCTCCACGGAAAACAGAAACATGCGACTATGCGGAGGTCCCGTGTCATTTTGTAGTGTATATTGTGGCGCTGTCCATCTATTTTTCGAGGTCAGTTCGTTGAGTACACACACGGGGTGTTTGTCTTGTGTATTAAGGGCTACTGGACCGGCACTGCCACTGGGTTGTTTCTTACGTTGAGTGACATTTGTACGCGGGGCCTGGTAATTGACATCCTCGCTCGAGACCAATCCTCGTTTGTCCAGCTTAACATGTAATAAAAGCGGCTGCAGTGATCCCGTTTTCGTTCTGCCCAAGCCCTCGCCTGGCTTCCAGCCCATTTTCTTTAGCAACGCCATGCCCATGCCCCCCGTCACGGGCTTTGTTGAGGTCAGCTGATCCCGTCGCGCCCACAACTGGGGTCCACTATTCAACTCATGTGCCTTCATCACAGGCGCGCCAGTGCTGCCCGTAAATTGGCCAGGCACATGCTTTGATGAGGCCCACGAGCACATATTACGCTGAGCATTATACATCATTTTCATCGCTTCAAAGTCCGTGGGATTTTCCTGCAACACAGATGACATAATTGTTATGAATCCAATTTTAGAGAAATTGTTGTGAATAAAATGAATGGAAACCGATTATATTGAATCCTTTTTCTGAATTCACATATTGTATATAATATTCTATGTAATATGGTCGCATTCGAAAACGGCCTTACTATGTGCGAATTATTCAATTGTTATCGAAAATATTAAAAGCTAAAAGGAAAAAATTTCGGACCTGCAGGCGGCGTATGGCACTAAGACGCTGCGTTATAATGCTGGACACATCCATGTTGGGCGGAGCGGTCTGTGGAAAAATGGACTCAGTTGGTGGCGCCGGGTGGGGCACTGGCTGAAGGACGGGGGGTGGCGCATTTATTGTAGACGGTATGGGCACTTCTGGTACAAAAGGACGACCGGTTACAGCTGCGGATGTAATTGCCGTTGGTACAAGCGGTTCAACACTAGGCGTAGAAATTGGCGGTGGCACCGGTGTTGGTGGTAATCCGTTCGTTTCCAATGTGGTCGCTATCTCCAATTGTGAACCGACGGACTTAAAGGCAGGTTCTTGTTGCTCCAGCTGCGGAATAGCCTTTGCAAATACATTTTTCTGCACATCTTTGAATATGTTGGTCGCCTGTTTTGCCGGAGGTAGTGTGGGCAGCGGTGCGAGCGTTTCTTTGCGATCGACAGGAACCCACGCTTCGGATGCTCTGTGATTTTGACCCGACGAGACGGGGAATTGCATGGTTATTGCTTTTATTTGTTCCTCGCGTCGCATCACTGGCACAATAGGCGTCGAGTTTCGTATGTGCATCACAATAGGTTCACGCTCCTTCAACTTAAACGGGTGATGAAACGCTTTGGCATTGCCGTTCTTATCCACATCCGAATCCTCCTCTGAGCTTAGATCGGAGAGTACTTCACCATTGGAAATTTTCTTGCAAAAGTCCGTGAGATCTTGCACCGTGCGTCCGCCATAGCGCATTTTAAGCAGCACCTTATCCTTGATTTCTTGCGTCATATCTTCGACACCGGGAATGGTGCCGCGCTTGAACATCATGATAGCGTTCTTTCGTGCAATTTCCAACAAGCGTTTCTTATCGATGCCCAAATCCCGGGAGCGGGAACGGGAACGCGCACGATTGTGAGATCTGGAGCGACGTCGATGCGATCTCGAACCGGCTTCTCCTCGAGGTTCCTCTTTGATGCGCGTGAAGCTGGTGTCATCGTAGAAGCTGTTGTGCGGTCGCCGCCGACCATTCGTTCGTTCTCGCAGGTAGGTTTCCTCATCGGAAAGAGACACATCGGATGCGTGTTCAGAGTGGCGCTGTTCTGATTTAATTTTATCTGTTTTGTTGTGCTCCCTTTCTTCCCTGCTGTGCCCTCGCTCCCGCTCTCGGTCCTTATCTCGGAACCCGTTATAGAAACTATTGTGCGCGCGTTCCTTTTCTCGATCTCTCTCTCGCTCTTTTCCCCATTCCTGTTCACGGTCCACACTTTGTTCAGTTTTGCAGATCTTCTTTGCGGGCACAGATGTACTCTCTGTGACATGGCGTTTTCGCTCGTGTCCCTTGGCCACACTCTCCCCGCCATCCGTGCGCCCAGCGCCTTCTTTGGATTTTTCGCGCTCCTTATTATGTTTATGTTTCCTTTTATGTTTATGTTTGTGCCTATGCTTGCCTCCAGCCGCCGCCACCGCATCACTCTCCGAACATTCGCCATCTGATTTATCAATTTTTTTGGTTTTCTTCTTTTTTTCCCGCTTTTCCTTTTTTTCTTTCTTGACCTTCTTGTGTTTCTTGTTGAGCAGATTTTTGTCGTCCAACAGCTCTTCGGGTGGAGCTGCATTGAATACAGAGAAGAGCTCTGCAAGGATTTCGTTTGACGATTTTACAGGAGCAATAGCCTTCTTGTCATCAACCTCTGCTGATGACGATGCACTCGGGCTACCATCCCTATCGCCTTCGCTCTCTGTTGCCTGGTCATCATCATCATCGTTGCTTTCCGTGTCAGCATGTTCGGCTTTAATACGTGCATTTATCGCCCTAAGCTTCGCCTCGACTTCAGCATCGATGCATTCCTTCTTTACTTTTACATCTACAAATGGCACAGTTTCTCCACTGGCCTTGTTTTTCGGTTGGTGTTCCTGTGATTTTGCTTGCACTTGGCTCACATCCACAATGGTGGCGCTGTCAGAATTCTCCGTCATTGCTGGGACCTCCGTGCTTCGCTCCAGTTGGTTACAAATACCTTAGGCATTGAGGTGAGCCTTTTATTATTGTACTGCATGCAAAAAGATATAGCTTCCGCACGCTTAAAAAATATAGCACAATTCTAAAGTGCCTATCGATATACGTGCTCGACACAGTATCGATGTGAGAACACAACATCATCTCTGCGATAATATGTAATTTGGGTGTTTGAGCAGAAGCGCAGCCAACTTCGCTCTCGTCGCTGTCAATTTTTTGCAATTTTGTACGACTAAAAAATAATAATCAGTTTTTCATACGCACTGGGAAGTGTCAGTCTCATTTTAAATACTTGAATACACTTGAAAATTGGCAGCACAGGTAAGTTACAAAATTTTATGGATGATAATGTGAAATATCTCTTCAATTCAACTACTAATACTCTGGAATATTCGCCATTTCTTTTTTCGCCTGTCTATGCTGCCATCGTGCGCTGTTCGCTGCTGCATTTGTAATTGTGTTGGTCGATGATTTTATCGGGACGGGCATATATTTTGGACACGTCTGTGTACGAATTAATTTTTTGTTGCGCATGGTATTGTGATTGTTACGCAGGAGTTGACAACGAATCAACTGCATTTGAAGTGAATTGTTATTGAAATAATTAGTACGCAGGCACACAATTAAAACAGAAAATGACCTCGCTGGAGCAAAATCGTTTGCAAAACTTCAAAAACAAAGGAAAGGACCAGGATGTAAGTGTATTTCGCCATGTTGTTAAGGTAATTACTATATTCATATGAACATGTTTAATTTTTAGGAAATGCGACGCCGTCGCAATGAAGTGACAGTTGAGTTGCGCAAAAACAAGCGTGAGGAAACAATACTCAAACGTCGCAATGTACCCAACTTGGATTCGAACACAGATGAGGATGAGCAGTTGCCTAATTCTATAAATCTCAAGAAGTTGGCGCACGCAGCCGCTGATGCCTCAAAACCAGAGCAACAGTTGGCTGCCGTGCAGGCTGCACGCAAATTGCTCTCATCGGACAAGAATCCACCCATTAATGATTTGATCAATAGCGACATATTGCCCATATTGGTGGAATGTCTAAAGCAACATAATCACACAATGCTACAGTTTGAGGCCGCTTGGGCCCTGACTAATATTGCATCGGGCACATCAGACCAGACCAATCAGGTAATATAATATCAACTAATGCTTGTCTGGGCATGCTGTTGTTTTATTAACACACTTAATTATTTGATTGCAGGTGGTGGCCGCCGGTGCCGTACCGCTCTTCCTACAATTACTCTCCTCACCTGCACCAAATGTTTGCGAACAAGCCGTCTGGGCATTGGGTAACATTATTGGCGACGGACCCGAGTTGCGCGATTTTGTCATCAAGCATGGAGTTGTACAGCCGCTGCTGTCATTCATCAAACCAGACATACCAATATCGTTCTTGCGCAATGTAACCTGGGTGATTGTAAATTTGTGCCGCAACAAGGATCCACCACCACCGGCAACAACAATACACGAAATCCTGCCCGCACTCAATGTGCTGATACATCACACAGACACCAATATACTGGTTGATACCGTTTGGGCCATCAGCTATTTAACAGACGGTGGTAACGATCAAATACAGATGGTCATTGAGAGTGGTGTGGTGCCCAAGCTAATCCCACTGTTGGGAAACGCTGAGGTCAAAGTGCAGACAGCGGCCTTGCGCGCTGTGGGTAATATTGTAACCGGTTCGGACGAACAAACACAGGTGGTGCTCAATTACGAGGCGTTGTCGTATTTCCCGGCTCTGCTCTCACATGCAAAGGAAAAGATACGCAAGGAGGCTGTTTGGTTCCTCTCCAATATCACCGCTGGTAATCAGTCACAGGTGCAGGCTGTCATTAATGTGGGTCTTCTGCCCAAAATTATCGAGAACCTCAGCAAGGGCGAATTCCAGACACAAAAGGAGGCCGCATGGGCAATCAGTAATTTAACCATCAGCGGTAATCGCGATCAGGTCTTCACATTGATCAAGGAGGGCGTCATTCCGCCATTCTGCGATCTGCTTTCGTGCCAGGACACACAAGTGATCAACGTGAGTTTGTCAAGTTTTATTTGTTCGAAATTATTACGAAATATACAATATATTTTTAGGTGGTACTTGATGGTCTCAATAACATGCTCAAGATGGCTGATCCACATGTTCAGGAAATTGCCAACTTGATTGAAGAATGTGAAGGTCTTGAGAAAATCGAACGTTTGCAGAGCCATGAGAATGTCGAAATCTATAAGCTGGCATACGAAATAATCGAGCAATACTTTACTGATGAGGTAAACATTTCTAAGAAATTTAAAACAATTTGTACTCAATTCTTATTCTTTCAGACCGAGCAAGCTAACCTGGCACCGTCCTCTGATGGCACACAATACAATTTTGATTCAAATTCTGACAAACTACCAATGAACACATTCAACTTTTAACGATTTTGAAAGTTAAACAGACACCAAACCAATAGCGCAGTTTTTTATCATGCCTAAATTTTTGGCATGTCAACACGAAACCAAACGCTTTGTTAGCGTCAACATTACACAAGGAATTTGTGTATAAACAAAAACCACAAAAAAGGAAGAACTTTAAGAAAACAAAGTTAAAAATAATGAAAACACATCGTGGACGAACAGTAATCAATAGCATACAATACATAAACCGAAATCCATAAATATCATAGTTTTCACAAATCAAATAGTATGGCTCATTTAAAGAGCTAGCCTGTATCCATCATCAGCAACAACAACAACAATAATATCAATAATAACTATAATATTTAAACAGCTTAGTTCTATGCAGCAACCAAATTTTAACAATAGCCAGAATACAAAGCCACAACCATTTTACATTACTCACTTCAATTCTGTGTTAATTACGTTTAAAATTGTATCAAAATTTATTTTAACATAAACGTTTTAGTAAGCGTAATACAGTTGAAATATTGTTTCAAATTGTTTCAATTTATTCATATTTAAGATGATTGTATTTGAGTATTTTCATAGTGGTCTTTATGCAAAATTTCACTACTGTATTGCGCTCTGAAAAACACACACGACCGAGAAATATAAAATGTAGAACTATTTGATTTTTAATGAGATATAATTACATGAAAACTATATTAAAAAAAAGAGCAAAAACTATTATGTATTTATTCATTTTAATAAGTAATATTGGAGAAATTATGTTCTTGAATATTGCCAGGCAGAATAATTTGTAATGCGCAATAAAAGTAAATTCTAGTACATAATTCGGCTCATTGTGCGTTTGTGTGAGATCGGTATGTATGTGTTTCATAGTTTTGTAGCTGGAATACATGTGTATATTATTAACATATGTTGATATGTACTTTAGGAGAGCGCCGCAATCTATTGCTGTGTAAACTCATAAACAGCTGCCGTGGTTGGATTGTTTGGGAAACAATTACTTACATATATACACATACGTACATATGTATATAAAAGAATAAATCAATATATCTATCCCCTGCAGTAACAGAAGTAAGTTTATATATACATATGTATATATACTTACATATGTATGCAACTGCTATGGTGAGATTGTTTGGGTGAAAAGTATAAACTATAGGTGGAGTCCCCTTTTCCAAAGCATATTAAAAAAGTTTTCAAGTAATTTACTCGCATTATATAAATATTCGAGAGATACGAGAACTTTCATTGCTAAAATATTTTCTGATAAAAAATTAACATTTCGATCTGGTGAACAATACGCATTTCCAGAGATCCCCTATTTCCTTTGCTGTAAATTATTATTATCCCACCCATTTTTTTGGTATCCACAGAAAGAAAAATTTATATTTAAATATTAGAGACTTTTTTCCATTGCATTGCAGTCCAGTTATGCCTGACCTTGACACCAAGTAGCCTCAAACATTTGCTCCATTGCTTATAAGAAATTTCTTATTATTTTTATTGTTTTGGTATTCAACAAGCTACATACATATGTATTTATTCAAACCAAATTAAATCATATATGAATTGTTGGTGTTTAATAAGATCATAATTTAAATTGTTCAGTTAATATCGAATTGCACGTTTTAGAGCCAATTTGCATGTCTAAAACGTGTTTATTTAATTTGAAAAGCTTTGTTAAAAGGTGAGATCAGGTGAGATTTAATCACACAGCCGAAAGCTGAGTTAAAGCTTCTCCACTGCACTAGCTATCCACTCTCTTTCAAAATGTTGACAAATTATTTCAACGGTTTTAAAAAAATCATTTCCATACACTGCTAGAGATCCCGTTTTACCAACATTGCCTGAAAACGTACTCAAACGTATAAACGCTGCAGATCATAGTCGCGTGATGCGGGCCAAGTGCAATTAACGTGTTATTTTTAGATAGACATACATACATATGTATGTACATAAGTATATGCAAGTGTTTGTCGTATTTTTGTTGCCGCAGCTGATGCTTTTTCGCTGCACTTACACAAAAAATTCCTATCGTTGGTGTTGTTTCCGTCAACATTGCATACACATGCACTTTTGTGTATACATACGTACATTGAATACGTGTTGCGGAAATTGGCACCATTGCATGATAATATCAAGGTCAAGGACGCTGCTATTGAGCTTGGAAAGTGGGCAAATTAATTTAAAAATGCATTTTAGTTTACTTATTGAAGACTGTTTAATCATTTTTCTGTATTACTTTCTAAAAACAACAAAATTTAAGAGCTCCGTCTCAGCTAGTGCGCAAACGCTCTCTTTGTGAGTGTACCTCTCGCTCACTCCCGCACAGCAAGTCGCTTGACGTCAGTGTTGTCAATTCAGCTTTTTCCCGCCAGCTCTTGACTTGCTAGTTGACATATTATACAAAACAAAAAAGATAAAACATTCTTACATTAATACATATAATTGTGTTAACTTGTCGACGTTTATTTTTCTTTAATTTTTAAAACAGCCTTGAGTGCATTGTAGAAAGCAAGGGAGTTACATTAATACATATAATTGTGTTAACTTGTCTACGTTTATTTTTCTTTAATTTTTAAAACAGTCTTGAGTGCATTGTATAAAGCAAGGGTACAACCCAAACTAAAGAACGGGTTCTACATTAAAACCTACCGAATCATCATTCTATAATATACATATGTATATGTATATCATTCGAATGATACATACTAGACATCTGCAAGAATGGCAAAAAACCTACATTCAAATGCTCAATGCTCAAAATGAGTTGAGTGAATTTGAATGCAAAGCCAAACTGGTGTGAATGAATAAGTGCACACACGTACGACTCAGTCACACAAGAACGAAACGTAGAAAAACGAATTGAATGCAGTGAGAATACGAAAGAATGCGACATAGTTTTTGAATGATCCGAATGGAAATTATTTAAATAACAAGAAAAATAAAACAAAAGCAACAAAATTCTCATTCAAAATCATACAGAATCGTCAGCTTCTTTTACCCCTCCATCCACATTTGCTTTGTAATGCGTCTATATGATTTCGTTGAACAGCAAGCACCAAATGACTGCGCAGATTTCCTATACAACGAACTCGAATAAATCGAATGTTGTTTCACTCCGTTATACACTTCATTTATTATCACTCATTTTACTGAATGTCGTATGCTATGAGACACAAGACACATACAATTTCATTTCATTTTCTGCGTTCCACTTACCCAACTCAATTCGATTCCATTCTTTTTAACGTAGCTTAGGAGTGAAGCTATGCAGCTGTCTAATACACACATATGAATCATTTTTATTTATGAAAATATTTATTTAAAAGAATACCATATTCAAACATAATCTTTTCTTACTGTGAAGTGAGAAACCTTAAATTTATTTATAGGCATGATAAGAGTGCATTATTATTATTTATAGTTTCTATCTAGCTTTTTTGCCGCTAAACAATTGACATCTCTGCTTGACTTGCTTGAAAAGCACACCTAAGCGTTATTCATCTCTTCAAGCAAGTTTCAGTTTTGCACTGCTCAACGCGCAGTACGGTTGGAACTGCTGTGTTGCCGCTTCACACTGAAAAATCGTCGTTTGCGAGTCATTGCGTGGAAATTTACATATTTTAACACAACAACATGTCTTCAACAGCCGTTCCACCACCTGCACCACCACCACCGACTCCACAAACAGCTGCTGTATCTGCGGGCAAAGGATTGCACTCTAAGGTGTATAACGGTCTAATTGGTAGCTTGGATAAATTCGTGCCAGCAAAACTCCGCCCGCTTTGGGTGCATCCAGCTGGTAATAGATATAAACATACATATGTTAGCATTTCTACACAACTAAAGCGCGCGCAAATTTTATTTTGTTGCAGGACCCAAAACGATATTCTTCTGGGCGCCCGTTTTTAAATGGGTAAGTTCATTGTCCTTGCACGTGGTTACATAATTGAAACAGCACACACGACCTTCGCAAATTTTCATTATCGCGCTCATATAAAAAAAATTAAATCTAGTCAAAGAGCAGCAATCTGTGCACGAGCAGGCGTCGTTGCTTCCACGATTAAATTTGTTGCTTTTATTAGACGCCGCCGTCGTCTGTTAGCGATAACTGCGCATTTTTTTGTTTAGCTGGGCGATATACCTACATAAGTACCTTCGTTGTTGTTGTCCGAATATACTGCATGATTGGTCATAATTCAACACCAACAATTTACATATAGTTATAAATTTTTGAAATGCTGGCAATTAACAATGTTTGCAGATGTGATTGCTGTTATCACTATCGGCTACTATATACGATTATCAACAATGTGCATTGCTAATAACATAAATTTTCCACATCCACAGGGTCTCGTTATTGCTGGTCTGAGTGATTTGGCGCGTCCGGCAGACACAATTTCCATACCGGCTTGCGGAGCCTTGGCTGCGACTGGTATTATCTGGTCGCGTTATTCGCTAGTCATTATACCCAAAAATTATGGACTATTTGCTGTGAATCTCTTTGTGGGCCTAACACAATGCGTGCAATTGGCACGTGCCTATAACTATCAACAGGAAAAGGAAAAATTGGAGAAGGAAAAGGAGGACGGAAAGCCAGCGTTAGCGCAGTAAAGCAAGATTTTATAAATCGTGCAATGTGGTGCTATATTTTTCGCCCAGTTTATATAAATCTACAAAAAATCTTGCGGAACACACTAGTTGAATTATACAAAGTAAAATATGTATGTTTAAACGCACATATCAAATATGTAACGTTTAAATTAGTTGTGTTTAGTTTTAGCCAACGAACACTTAATCTACAAAGTGTACAATCGCACAGACATTAATATATAATGGTACGTGATTCGTAAATTTTAAGTTGTAAAATGTGGAGGCTTCGCGTAGTTTGTAACTACACGTAGTACTGTTGGAATTTGTGATTTTCTACAAATAAAACCAATGAATATTTAAGACTCCACTTGAGTATTACTTAATTATGACAACCTCATTTTTGTAAATTAACACAAACGATTAAAATGACTAAAGCAACGCGCCATTAATCGAAGTAGTAGAACACTATTTATCGATAACAATGTCGGGAAGGTGGTAACCATGGAATATTATTGTGACAGCTGTTTATTTTGCAGGTGAAAAACTATTGGTTAAGAGAATTCGCATTAAAAGTTATACCCTAACAAAACATAGCACAAAAAATGAACTTAATAAGTGGCATTAAGTTGTACATTGAGAAAATGTGCAGCGAGTCCGGGCCAGGCATGAAAATAATTTTGCTAGACAAGGATACGGTAAGCATAGCACGCCCATCACGAAAGAAACATGTTTTATTTTCCAACAATTTTCAGACCAGCATTATATCAATGGCATTTAGTCAGTCCGATATGCTTCAACGAGAGGTTTATTTGTTTGAACGCATTGATTCTGGACGTTCCAATGAGCGCCTAAAGTATCTCAAATGCATTGTCTTCATTCGGCCTACAAAACAAAACATACAGCTGCTAGCCAATGAGCTGCGAAATCCCAAATACAGCGCGTACTTCATATGTAAGTTGATATACATCAATCACTTCATATATTTAGTGCGGACTTATATTGCTTTTATACAGATTTCAGCAATATAATACCACGCACGGACATAAAGTATTTGGCCGAATGCGATGAGTCAGAGTCAGTGCGTGAGGTGAAGGAGCTATATGCGGACTATCTATGCGTGAATCCCAATCTCTTTTCTCTCAATATTTCAAATTGCATGACACGGCTTAACTGGTTGCCTGATGCTCTAACGCGCAGTGTCCAGGGAATTACATCTGTGCTACTGTCCCTGAAGCTGAATCCTGTTATACGTTATCGCGCTGGTTCGCAGGCTTCACAATTACTGGCCAAACTAGTTTACGATCAGACGACTAAAGAATCAACGCTTTTTGACTTCCGTTCCAATGCTGATGGCACAGCGCCTCCGTTGCTTTTAATATTGGATCGTCGCGATGATCCTGTGACGCCTTTACTGCATCAATGGACTTATCAGGCCATGGTGCACGAGCTGTTGACCATACGCAACAATCGCGTTGATTTGTCAGAGCGCGCTAATGTTCCCAAGGATTTCAGGGAACTAGTGCTTTCTGGCGACCAGGATGACTTTTATGGGAAAAACATGTACGCGAATTACGGCGAAATTGGCTCGACTATCAAACAATTAATGGAGGAATTTCAACGCAAGGCCCACGATCAGAAGAAAGTAGAAAGCATTGCGGATATGAAAAACTTTATCGAAACGTATCCACAATTCAAGAAAATGTCTGGCACAGTGCAGAAACATTTGTGCGTCATTGGCGAATTATCCACGCTAACGAATAAACGAAATCTGTTTGAAGTTTCCGAACTGGAGCAGGAGATTGCCTGCAAGGCCGAACATTCGGCCCAGTTGCAACGTATTAAAAAACTGATTGCAGATGAACGCATTAGCATTGATGATGCAATCAAGTTGGTGGCTCTTTACGCGCTGCGCTATGAACGTCATGCCAATTGCGATACTTCAGGATTGTTGCAGATTATCAAGACTCGTGGTGGACGCACACAAATTGTGCCCAGTCTTATTGAATACGCAGGCACACATGTACGCCAAGGCGATCTCTTTAACATGGTGCGCATTACAGACGCCGTAAAACTAACCCGAAATTTAATCAAGGTTTGTAAATTATAGAGATATTATGGATGCATTTTCTACTTAGCAAATTCATTTGATTGCAGGGACTTAAAGGTGTTGAAAATGTGTTCACGCAGCATACGCCGCTACTAAAAGAGACTCTGGAGGATGTCTTTAAAGGTCGTGAGCTGGATCCCATCTATCCGGCCATCAATTCCGAGCTTGTGCCATTCCGCCGGCCACCGCAAGAAGTGGTGGTCTTCATTGTTGGTGGTGTCACCTACGAAGAAGCTTTGTCTGTCCATCAGCTTAACAATGCCGGATATAAAGTCATTCTTGGCGGCACCACCATACACAATTCCGAGAGCTTTATCAATGAAGTATTAATGGCAACAGATGGAGTGCAATTTAAACATACCAAATCCATGGTGAGATATTGTTCCTCGGACAACCTTTAGGGGCTCTACCACGTACATTATTTGTTAAATATTTAAGCATATTTATACTACTACTACTACAAATTGTGTAATCAAAGCTAATTTATGTTATTTCTATGTTTAATATACATAAATTATTATTATGTACATATAAAAGACTTTCATATTTTTGAGAAAAGTGGTTGTCCTTCGCTTCAAAAGTAATCTGATTCACAAGATTTGTTTGCATTGCAACAAAGCAGCAATCGACTGTTCGCGGTCGAAGCCACTGAATAAGACAAAACCATTTGTTTGCCAAGAAGTTTTCGGGGAGAAACTACAAATTAGTCATCATAAGTTAGAAAAAGTACTTCTAAAATCCGAAAGTACAAGAGTAATTATATTTATAAAGAACACTTAAATTAAATTATAAGTACGTTTTCCATTATGTTTTGTTATCCAAAACAAATATGTAAATAACCATGGCATTCCTAACGTTTTTGAAACCAAGACAACGGCGGTTTGTATTTTCCGCACGATGATTTGTTTACCACTATTTTTGGAAAGAGTTAAAAAGAAAACCACCCAATCCCATGTCGAGCACATATTACAATGAGATTTGGCATCAAGTGCAGCATGAATTTGAGCTTCTCTCGACCATCGACTATGAACGTCAGCATCAGGATGTCGAGACTACGGTAGCCACCATTAATGCCGCCACTGGCTCTGTAGCTGCCGAGGCCGATGCCAAAGCTGTGCTTCAGGACAGTCTTTACGAGTTCTATTTACGTTACATTTGCCTCTGCAATCGCCTGGAGGATGTCTATGACAAGATGATTCAGCCACAGAAGCGGATTTTGGTGCGCAAATTACTGGACGCCTGTCTGGGACGTGTTGTGGAGCTAAAGCATGATCTGGTTAATATCGATCTAATGGAGTTTAGTTACAACGACGACGTGGTCGAACGTTTGCGTTTGACTCCCATGGAGACGGAGTTGCGAATACCGCGCTATTTTTTAAGGGAACGTCAGGAGGAATTGGAACAGCGTAACAAAACAATGCATGAAATATTGGTGAAGTTGGGCTGGTTGGAGGAGCATCCGTTGGATGAGCCTTTGACGACTGAAATCGAGGCGATTCGACTGCTGCAAATGCATGAGAGAGCACGGCAGGGTCGTCTGCGTGCACATTTCATGAAAGAGATACGAATGCTGAAAGAGAAGGGCAAGTCGGAGGAGCGTAGCGAAAAGGAACGCACAGATTCGGGCCTCATGGCGGCCATGAAAATACAGAAAATGTGGCGTGGACATACAGCACGACGAATAACACGACGTCGCAAGATGGATGAGATGATTTTAATTGGCATGTTGCCGCCACCAGCGGCTGTGGTAAAAGAGCGTGCCGAGAAGCTGGAGAAGCTCAATGAGGTGAGAACTGATTATCATTCGATTCATTTTCCAGAGCGAAAAATGTCCCACAGTAAAGAAATCTCAATTCTTTTACAAATACTTTTTTTAAACAGATCTACGAGCGTCGCTATGTGGCGCAAAAAACCTATGAAGCTCAATATGAAGCGCGCATGCGCACAGTGCAGGAGGAGATTAAGCAGAAACATGGCGCCACTATGAAAGAGGACATAGCTGATGAGATACGTGCTTGGATCAAGGACTGTTATGACAAGACGGGAAAGTTGCCTGACTTTCCATCAGAAGATCAAGGCGGTTCTCTGCATATATTCAGCAGACCAGGCACAGAGAGCGAGCACAGTCGCTCCTCAGCCCGTTCCTCAAAGGAGTCGCGCAAGACCAAGGATAAGTCAAAGTCGCCGGCACGTAGCGGCGACCTAAACATCAATGAGAATCAGGAGGAAGATGTCAGCTTTCAACCGGCACCGTCCGTTTGTCTCCCCGACATTAGAGCGGAAATTGAACTGTTAGTAAAAGTCCCATCTTTTTCGCCTTTGTAAAATTTGCTTTAAATCTGGTCTCATTACAGTTTTAATGAAACCTGGCGGGACAAAGACGAAGCTGGAGTCTTAAGTCAAGCTGCCTATGAGGATATGATTTACAATGAGAAGTATCAGGAAGTCGAGCTTGAATTTCGACGTGCTGTGGACGATGTGATGCGCCAGGAACTCGAGCTATTGCAAACCGCTGTAGGCAAAAAGATTAAGAAGAGTAGCAAAAAGACGCGACGTTCGGGAAAAAAGAGCAAAAAGAAGAAGGAAAAGGATTTGACACCAGATCGCACCACAGAATCTTTATATGAGGAGCTTGTTACCAATGGTATAATACGCAAATATCCCGAATTAAAACTAACCCAATTTCTAGGCGACAAAGCGTTAACGGCACGCAACGGAATAAATCCTTCACCGGGCGATATACGCCAGATTCTGACAGAATACTGCATTCTACCATTGGGTTCTGAAGCGATTCACAATAACACACCACTGATACGTTCTATATTGCTGGCTGGTCCTCGAGGATCGGGCAAAAAAGCTCTGCTTCATGCCATTTGCACGGAGGTTGGCGCAGTGCTCTTCGATCTGACACCAGCAAATATAGTGGGAAAATATCCGGGAAAATCTGGCTTAATTATGCTGATACATCTGGTGTTGAAAGTGTCGCGTTTGCTGCAACCCGCTGTCATATACATGGGTGATGCAGAGCGACCCTTTATGAAGAAGATCCCAAAAACTGATCGCACTGATCCAAAACGTTTGAAAAAAGATTTGCCGAAATTGATTAAGAATATACAGCCAGAGGACCGCGTAGTTTTTATTGGAACTTCCAATTTACCATGGGAGGCGGATCAGAAAATGCTACAGCAAACATATAATCGTTTTATCTACATACCTCGACCGGATTATGGCGTTATGTCGTTTGCCTGGAAGACACTTTTGCAGTGCGTCCTCTACAATTGGGCATTCCTTTTGAATATTGCTAACTTTTCCTCTTTATAGCGAGTACTCCGGCGGTCTATCAACCTTGGATACGAGTGTGATGGCTAAAATATCCGATGGCTATACAATAGGTAGCATTGATGCTTGCCTCAAGGAGGTGATGACGTGCAAGCGCAAGCTGCAGCTGCGCACTCAGCCCTTAACTCACGCGGAGCTAATAAATGTGCTTTGGTACGCATATCGTTATGTTAACTTAATTGTTTATTTTGTTTATTTTGTTCTTTGACAGCGCACGCGACCCGGTTTACCGCGAGGAGGAGGAAGCTTTCGAATCGTGGTGGTCGAAAACGCCACTCGGCCGGCGACGTCAACGATATCTAGAATTGGAAGAAGAGCGCATGTTAGAGGAGCAAGCCCAGGCAGCTAAACAGGGCAATGGAAATAAGAAGAAAGGAGCCAACTGAACCCTTTTTACTGGTTTTCATAGCTCCGTTGTGTCAGAATTTTAACATAAACGTCTTCTTGTAGACGTGGAAATCATACAATTTGATATTTCAATTAATAATAATAATATTATGGTATGAAGGGCCAGATAGAAATAGTTCTAGTTGGAAGGTTTTATTTAAAATAATTATAATTGCATACTTACGCCTAAACTTAAGATAAGTTAAGCCTGAAAATAAACTCCTTATTCCCACACTTGCAGTGCAGCTTATTGACAGTTAATTGCAAAGCTTCCTGTTCGTTCAGTAGTTGCTGAAGTTCTTCCAATTTTTTACGCATCAATGTCTCCTCATTGCCCACACACCACAGCAGACTTATGTGAAAGGAAGGATCGGCATAGAACTGTGGCAAACCAAAGTCACGCATCACCCCGTCGATGGGCCTTAGTAGTGCGTGCATTTTATTTGAATAAACGGCATCCAGTTGCACGGCTAGAAACGTGCGAGTTCGCTCCTCATTGGTGTAGATTTTCAAATCATGTAGCGTGCCGCTAAAGCTGTAAATTTAACACATTATATGCGATTGATTCAACAAATTCATTCGGTTTCATTTACCCAACGCAATTCCTCAGTGCTTGTTGCAGGGAACTGGCAAAGACATCGATTTGATGGTATTGTAGCACAACAGTTTTGCTTAAACTAAGATGAAGTGAAGCGCTAGCTTTTAATTCAACCATTGAAGCCATTTTCGAAATGGTTTCCAGTTGAAAGTCCTCCAGTTGGTCGTTACATTCTAAAGCCGACACGTATACATGAGTTGCCCAATTACCGCGCTCATGCTTGAAAGTGCGAATACGTCCGCCGTGCTGGGTAGGGTCATCAATTAGGTCGTCTTCCTCCACGCATTTGGGTTGTTTAACACCCAACAAAGTCAAAGCAGTAGGAAGCGCTGGTCTAAATTTTAAAATGTGCTATAAAGCGGTGTAGAGGCGTCCTTATTATCTTACCTCTTTCTTGGTATGCTTAAATCCTCTTCTTCGCATTCGGAGCTTGTGCTGCTGCCGTAGTCAACAAGAGCCATTCTGAGCGCGGCTTAAAACGATCGCTACGAACGCCGGTAATAATGTTTGTTATGGTTTAGTGCTGTAAAATGTAAGTTATAGTACTGTATAATGCTAAAGAAGACCGATAACAGCAACACGTGCGGCTCCACAAAACATATGTTCACGCATTGTGCTTAATGGTATTTTGTTGTTTATAGTCGAGTAACTCTAAAAATAAGAATGGTGGGTGTTAAATGTTTCTGTATAGCTTCAAATATAAATTCTTTTACATACGTTTTACACAGGGCAAGCAAAAGAAGACCAAGAAAATTCAAAAACAGAGAAACGCACAACTTAAGCGACTGATGAAGCCAACTGACTCACGCATCAAGGAAGAGCTACGCAAAAAACGCAAGAAACCCACTGATCCGCATTCAATTAATTTGCACAATGCACCGCAACAGAGCTCGGCACTTTTCTTCCAGTATAATACACAATTGGGACCACCTTACCACATAATTCTCGATACGAACTTCATTAACTTCAGCATAAAATCAAAACTTGATATAGTCCAGAGCATGATGGACTGTCTTTATGCCAAGTGCATACCCTATATATCAGACTGTGTGCGTGCCGAACTCGAGAAGCTGGGTAATAAATACAAACTGGCGCTGCGCATTATTTCTGACCCTCGGTTCGAACGTTTGCCTTGCCTGCACAAAGGTGAATATGCCGACGACTGTATTGTGGAGCGTGTTCGTCAGCATAAGTGTTATATTGTAGCCACTAATGATAAAGATTTGAAAAATCGCATACGCAAAATACCAGGTGTGCCTATCATGTATGTGGCAGCGCATAAATATGCGATTGAACGGATGCCCGAAGCCTATGGAGTAAAATCATGAATATACAATAGAATAAAACATTAAAAACAAAGCGATTCTCGTGTTTGCTAATGTGTGCCGATGCAATCGGCCGTCAGCATTTAGTGTGCATGGGGGGCGCTATTAATGTACTAAAGTTTAGTTTCGGCATATACATATGTACATACATATGTACGTATGCTTTTATTAATTCGCTCCGTCTGGTAATTTTAATATATCGCAGAATTAAAAACGCAACATATCCTTTCTTTGTTAAGAAACTCTACAATAATAGTCGGACTGGTTCGCTATGCCAGGCCGCAAGGACACACATACAAGTATATACTATGTGAATTAATTAGAAATATAACAAGTATATATTTCTTTTTTTCGACGGTTAAAAATTCAAAAAATTTAGAGTCTTCCTTTTATAATTTGGGTGATAAACCATTTAATTTATTTAATAAATATGAAATTGTTTGGTTCTACTGAAATATTTACTTGAACATTTTGAAAACATGATATCGATGTAGGCATCGAATAAAAAATCTGGCAACACAAACAGAGTACTATCGAGACCTACTTATCAGTATCTTAAAGTAGTCGGCGCTGACAAATTTCGGCACATATTTTTTGATTGAATCTTTTGAAGCTACAATGCAATTGCACTGTTAGACCAACTTGAAGTACAAACGATACAAAACAATGCAACTGGGCGCCATGCTGCATGTGTACAAAGGGGAGTGGGGGCTGCCGTCCATAGATTTTGAATGCTTGCGTGCCTTGGTAAGTTTGGGAGACGAATTCAGTTGCATCATACTCGAGCACGCTTTTTTTTTTATCACTAAATTAAACTAGTGTAATTGGTCATAACTTTGTGAAATATCTGTAGTGTTTGTTGCGCTTCACCCGTTGCCCCATGGGCGTACAGACGAACACAAACCCCTTGCGATCTGGCGCCGGAAAGCTACCGTACCTACAGATTGGCAATGAGAAGTTCGTTGGATATAGGCAAATAAAACGAGTGCTGGATGTTGAGGTAAGTGAACGTGAAAAAAAAAGAAAAAGCCGGCAGCATAAAGCAACGACAGCATCGGGTGAATAAACTTGTCAGCTATTTATAGCCAACAATTTGATTTTTAAGTGCAAGAATTCCGCATTACTTTTGTGTCGTTATATTTTTCAGGGTTACCCGATTGATGCGCATTTAAACACAAAACAAAAATTTCTTTCCGCATCGTACGCCAATTGGGTTTTCACAAATCTGCATGCCTATTACCATTACTTTGTGTTCGGCGAAGCCAACAATTATGATACCACAACCCGAGGTCTCTATGCCAAACGCACGCCATTCCCCTTCAACTTCTACTACCCCTCTACGTATCAACGTGAGGCATGTGATGTGTTGCAGGTCCTCGGTGGTTTTGATATCAACGACAAGGTGGAAAACCACGAAGCAGACTTTGTGAGCATTATTTTGAGTAATTAAAGTAGTTGTTTAAATTAACAACCTATATTTATAGCTTACCAGCAACGCTAAAAAATGCGTAAACCTACTCTCCCGGAAATTGGGGCGTAAAGTCTGGTTCTTTGGCGATTCCTATAGTGAATTCGATGCTATTGTCTACAGCTATCTTGCATTAATCTTCAAAATAACACTGCCAAACAATCCGCTGCAGAATCATATAAAAGGCTGTCAGAATCTGGTGAATTTCATCAATCGCATTACAAAGGACATTTTCCGGAATGAAGGTTACAGTTCCACAAAGCTGGCGAAGTCTACGGATAGCTCAGATGCGGCACTGACACCATCTGAGCGCAAATTTCTGGAATCCGAGTTGAATACCAAAGTCGCGGCTGGCATTGGAGCCATGCTGGCCATGGGTGCTTTTGCTGCATGGCGTGGCATTTGCAATCAGGTGCGTGATATTATTTCGACAAAATTGAACTCTTTTTATTTTGTTTGTTTGTTAGTATTGGTGCCATCTATTTCTTTGGCTACAACAATTTTTTTAAATTGTAGAATTCTAGTTTTTAAGTGCAACCAAATTAATAAATTCGAAATTCAAAGGTAAAAGTTTTAATTGATTTAAAATTTCATCTACCCTGTTTACACCTCTTCTAATTGCAGTTAACAACGCGTTCATCTACGGATTACGATGGCATTGACTATGAGGATGATGAAATTGAAGACGGCATGGAATAGTTTATATAAATATATATTTTAGATGTATATTTTTAAAAGTTTAAAACCAGACGACGCCCATCTTTACAAACACTGTCATAAATGTCCAGAAGAGCTCAGCGATTCAGGTACATCAATACATCCATATTAATACAAATATTGTTTAAATGAATCGACTTGAGCCCCTTTCATTAGCTATTGAACATTAAATTTATGTATCAGTTACATAGAACCCAATTCACCAAAGCTAAGTATAAGCAGACAGTGGTTTTTAACATTTTTGGCTTTTGTTGGTTACGTACAACTTTATTAAAATCTAAACTAAGCCTAAATTTAAAATTATAATTTACAAAGCGGCAACATTTATACACTTAATAATTGTAAATAATTGCTCCTCCAAGGTTCATTTTCATTTAGTTTGTAAATTAAACGGCTCCGTTTTTGTTTTGTATGGAAGGAAAGAAAATGTTGCCCCTTTTTTACGAATGGAAGTGAACATAATTGTCACGTATAAATAGAGATGTTTGTATGTATAATATGAATATGAGTAAACTGTAATGGAATTGCTGGATCGTGTGCCGACATCTTGGCATTCAGGTCTTGAGAGCATCCTGTAGTTTTCGCCGCGCCACACTCACCCTATCCTCTTGCTTTCGTATGTCATCTTCTGATATGATGACCGCATGCATCAGAGGCTGTTCGGGATTCATGAATGCCATGGCATTTTTCGTCAAATCAGCCTTTGCGGATGTCTGGCCATGGACGCCAGCATTAAGGACATGCAGCGCCGTTGCTACTGATTGCAACACAGTCTGTTCGTTGACATTGGGGCCGACGGTGCGTATCGTTTTGGGCAGTGTTATATCGTCCAGTTCCTCACCGGTGTCGTGACATGCACGCAGACGCTCCAAGCGTTTCTCCCAGAACAACTGTTTGGGCTTCTCCTGTCCACCATGCTTGGCATCGTGCTTTACTTTGCTGGGCTCGTGATTGCGGATTACAGTGACGGGCTGTTTAAAAATCGACGCGGTTTGCCGTATCGGCGGCACCAGAGAGACATCTGTACGTAAGGCGCGACTGTAAGATAAGGTTGAGTTGATCAAAATTCCAGCACCTTACAGAGACGCGAACACATAGAAGAACACACAACGCTCATAAAATACATGCACTAAATCTTGATTTAAAGTATTTCAGAAATAGACAACAATAGACAGGAGTTACAGCAATGCTAGCCAATTTCATTTTGCCAATGCCAATATTAAGTTTTTTTTTTTGCAGATTTGATATTCCAATTTTGAGTTGCTGTTGTATACCCCTCCAGTATAAACAAAAGACGCGCATGCAAGAAGCTATGGAGTTTGCGAGCCATCGGCTTGTGGCTCTACCTGAATTCAAGTTGTTGGCGAAGATTTGCGCTTGCTGTTGCCGTTGTTGCTGCTGTTGCCGGTGATGTAGACGTTAGAGATGCTGTTGTAGTCGCAATAGTATTGTTGTTATTGCTGCCTTGGGTTCTAAATTTACGTTTTAGTGCGTTGGGGGCACACCCAACACCAGTGCTACTAATAATTGTGCCGGATGCATTGCAGCGATATAGCGATATTGAGGGCGATGGCAAATGATGCTGCAGCATTTTGCCAGATTGAAAATCAAAGTTGCTAATATCGATCACATCGCCCAATTGACGTGCCAATTGTGGCTTGGTTTCTATTTTTTTTCCTGTTGGACTGTGAACAGACACGGAAGGTGGAGGTGGGGGGTTGTTGATTGTGTGATGGGAGGAATTGGTGACCACAAAGTAAGTAGTGAATATATATTGGCACGTGCATTATTTGTATACATGTGGGTGTGTGGTAGTTTTGTTTACGTTAATTGGCACGCTCGATTTGTTTGCTTAAAAAGCCATCATTTTGTTACCTGTAATAATAGACGTCAACTTTTCCTGATCCCGCAGAGATTCCAGACTTTCTGAGCACCTCTTCGCGTTGCCATCCCTTTGGTAATGCCGCGCAATCTACACGTTTGCGCTCGATTGTGACGCTGGGATTCATTTGCATTCTTAATTTACAATTTTTTCCTGCTGCTTCTCTCTGTTTTTCCCTTACGATTTACAAATATGCGTCTTCTCAATCTTTTAACTTACTCGATACTTGCCTTTAAGTACTCTGTTTTTTGAATTCTGTCGGGCAACACTGCAGTTATTAATGCGTTATTCAACACAACCACACGCAACTGTCCGCCAAATCCCTTAATTAGGAGATTATTATTTTAATGAACAATGACAGCAAAAGAACGTGTTTTAATTATCGACAACGGATCGTATGAGTGTCGTGTAGGTTGGAATGACATAAGTGTACCCGAACTGCGTTTTCGCAACGTTCTGACAAAACCACGCAAAGACCGAAAGAAGGACAATCAGCCCGGGATTGGTGATGGTGCAACAACAATGGGAAACGAAACGCCGGCAGAAATACAAGTGGGCAATGATATTACCAATATTGAAGCAGTTCGTGCTCATCTAAAATCTCCATTTGAGCGCAATGTCATAACGAACTGGAATCACCAGGAGCAGATACTGGACTATATATTCTCCAAAATGGGCTTCGAAGCCGAACCGAATATTGGGAATCCTATAGTGTTCACTGAGGCGTTGGCCAACCCCAATGTTTGCCGTCAGCAGATGAACGAGCTGCTATTTGAATGCTATGGAGTTCCTTCTCTTACCTATGGCATTGATGCCCTTTACAGCTGGCACCACTTTCAGCATGAACGTGGAAAGGTGGCAGATGCGTTAATTATATCGTTTGGTTATAGCACCACACACGTTATACCTGTTCTGGATGGGAAGCTGCAAATGCAACATGTGCGTCGATTAAATGTTGGTGGCTATCATATAATTACGTTTCTATTCCGCTTGATGCAAATGAAATATCCAGTGCATCTAAATGCCATCACAATAAGTCGGATGGAGAAACTGGTGCATGAGCACTGCCACATAGCAATTGATTATAAGGAGGAGTTGTTGAAGTGGGCCCATGTTGACTATTACGATGCGCAGATTATGAAGATACAATTACCTTACAATCCGGTAACGGCCACCAATGCGCTGCTAACGGCTGAACAAAAGCAGGAAAAGCGTCGGGAGCTGGCCATGCGCTTACTGGAGATGAAGAATCGCAGGGAAAACGAAAAGTTACAGGAAGATGAGCAACAATTGCAGCTGCTGAAAAAGTTAAGACAACTTTATGAGCAGCAGAAAGAACAGAAATTTGAGCGGGCTCTGGAACAGCAACAAATAGAAAATTTAGAGGAGTTGGACAAACTAATTAGCACAGTGAGTGGACGAATTACGCGCATCAAGGAGCGAGCAGTTTCTTCACCGCGACCCAACAAACAAGTCGACAAAATGGCCAAACCACCGGAAGGTATGGACCAGGCACAATGGCTGTCGGAGCTTCGAGAAAAGCGGGAGGAGCTGATACGTCGCAAGCAGGCGCGGCAGCAAAAACGCCAGGAGTTAGCCAAAAGGCACACGTTGGCGGCACAAGAACGCATGCGTATTATTTCGACGCTGGCACGTTGCGAAAAACGACGCAAAGCTAATGGTGATGAGGAAGATGACGGGTTTGGTATGAATGATGATGATTGGGATGTGTACAAACGTATAAACCGACATAACGATGACAGCGACTCAGATGCCGAGAGCGAACAGCTTATCGAGTATGAGAAGATCCTTAATCATTACGATGCCAATATTGACGAAGGAGGGGCGGCATCTAAGGCCCTAACAGCTGCAGAAAATTATCAATTACACTTTGGTGTGGAGGCCATACGTGTGCCGGAGGTTCTCTTCCAGCCCAGCATGATTGGTAGCAGTGAAGCAGGTCTGGCTGAACTTATAGCCTTTGTGCTGAAATTCTTTACGGCCTCGGAGCAGCAACGTATGGTCGAGCATGTCTATTTAACCGGCGGATGTGCACAATTTCGTGGACTCAAGGAGCGACTGGCCAAGGAGCTGCTAGAACTAAGACCATTCCAATCCCATTTCGCCATTTTCGAATCCGATAATCACACATTGGGCGCTTGGTTGGGGGCTTTAGTGCAGGCGAATGAGTCAAGTTTTAACGAAATTTTAACCACACGTCAGGATTATGAGGAGCACGGCTGCGAATATTTTAAAGAGCACAATGCGAGCAACATATATTATCCTACACCAAAAGATTAGCTTTTTGTTTAATCTGTCCACACAAAAATATATATAAATTTAAATTAAAACAGCAACTCTGTGACATCATTGCCAAAGAGTAGGTTCCAGGACTTGGGCACAGTCAGCTTGAATCCACCATCGCCGCTGCCGCGCAGCTGGAGGAAATCGTCGCACAATTCATTCAGCTCGCGCACAATCAGCGAAGCATCCGTGCTGTTGTCCCCTTCGAGTAAATAACGGAATAACAGCATAACCGGCACATTTTGTTGCTCAAAAGCTTTGTACAGCTGTAAGCCGTTGCCACCACCGTAAATAAGATCCCCAGTGTGCTCCTTCCATTGGACGACTGCGGAATTGTTGAGCTGTGTGGCGTGTTCTAACTTAAATCGGTCACTAGCACGGTAGGCATATGGGGAGCTCTCGATGACACGTCGCTCGAATCCAAAACTGCCGCTTAGGATTACAACTCGTCGTGCATCCTTCAGAAGATCAACTAATTCACGCTGAAAACTAGAGACATGGCGCGATACGAATGGAGCACGAAATTGTACTACCAACAGTTTATCTTCAGAGCCCTCGTAAAGTTCGCAGGAGGCCACACGATCGTCTGGCTCGTGCTGATAAGCCGAAGGCCCGTGCACAGGAATCAGAGCGGGATGTGATAAACTGCCAATGCGACGCAGCTGTTTGGAGGCAATCAGCAGATCACAGGCCAATTGTGCGGCATTTCCAACGCAAATGCTGGGTATTATCACGGTATAGTTTTCTACATTGAGCTTAGTTAGCTCTTTATTTTTCAAGAACAACATTTCTAACTCCTGCCACTGACTACTAAAAATATGAAAGTAATGTAGCAGTGCTCGAAAATTTGAATCAACAGAAGGCCTACTCAGTATCGGTACAATTACGGCTGATGGCAACTCTATAAATATGCGCATCGTTTACCACACTGATATTGGCTTGCTTGTTTTTGTTTTTGCAAATGTTTTGCGGCGTTTCATTAAAAAACAATGTCAAATTCCGTGAATATATCTGTAGAAACAACATGCGAGAATCAAATACGTGAAATAGCATACGATGGCACCGAACTCTACCAACCGTTAGTATTGAAAATGCAATAATATAAAGATTATTTGTCAATTAGTTGGCACTTTTCAGGCCGCTGTCCTTGTCTGAAAGTCTGGCTAAATGTGCGGCTCGCATTGACTTCAGCAAGACTTCCCTGGATGAATTAAAGAAAGAGGAGAAGTCCGCTGCGGCAGCTGAAGAGGAAAGTAAAGATGCGGAACAATTTCAAGAAAATCTCTGGCCTTGGGATGCAGTGCGCAACAAGCTGAAAGACGCATTCACCGAAATTTGTGTGCTCTCCGATGTGATATCAATAGCGAAAGATAAGAGATATTTGGTGCTGGACCCGCTGCTCGAGGATGGCGACGATACTAAACCCATTGTGCAGGTCTACAGTCGCAAGAAAGCCATGTCGCAGGCGGCCCAGGTGTTGCTAGGGGGAGCAGAACGACTACGCAATGCCCATAGCGAGCAACGTAGTCGCAATGTTTCCGATTTTCACATAGAATTGCTGCGGCTGCGGCAGAACTGGCGCCTCAAAAAGGTATCGAATGGCATTATTGGTGATTTAAGTTACCGTACAGCGGGCTCGAAATTTGGCATGAGTGGCACTTTCGAGGTAACTAAGTCGGAGGATGCCATGGAGGAGGATGCCGCTGGTACCACTACTGGCAATAACATCGCTGGTGGCAGCAATAATGGCATGCAACCCAAAGCAGAGCTCGCATTGCGTGTCATTGTGCCTGCCGAGCTGCAAGGCGTGGCTTACATTAAGGTTATAACACAAAAGGATCAGGAAGATTTATGCACGGCCCAAGTAAACTTGATGGGCCATGGACCGAATATCACAGCACCGGCTGGCGTTTGGCAGAAAACGCTGGAATTCGCACAGAATGTGCTCTTTTGCAAGGAGCTCTTCGCACAGCTAGCAAGGGAAGCGATACAGCTACAAGCTCCCATACCGCATGTGGTAATTGGCAATCAAATTCGTGCAACCCTGCTGCCCAACATACAACTAATCATCTCGTTGTGTCACTCAACCACCTTCGATTCAAGTCAACCAGCACCCATCAACGACCACGATCATGTCTTGGAGCATTCGTTGCATCAACTGCTGCGCGAAGTTCATCACAAGAACTCACATCATCCCTTTCCACATCCGGCGAGCGCGCCATTAGGTCCAACTAAGAAACGCATGCTTGCCGGTCCCATGGCCGCTGATCGGGAGACGCTGTTGGATATGACAAAGTCTCAGACCATACTGGAACAAATAATAGCACAGGCCCAGCACATTTTCATGCGCAAGCGAACACAGTATGTGTTGGATACATTGGCCCGTGATGTCAAGGATCCACAAATTGTGTCGCACTGGAATGCCATGAACAGCCCCACGATGTCCTGCGTGAAAATTAATATTGTCACACACGGCTATGATGCCGTTAATCGCACCTCGTTGGTTATACACGTGAAGGAGCGTTCGCTGAAGTGCATCTGTCGGGATGGACGAGTCATGCGTCTGTCCTATGAGCCGCAAGAATTGCGCGACCTCATACTCTGTCAAATAAATTCGCATCAGATCTCCTGTCTTCTGAGTCTGGCACGCTGCATGGCTTGGACAGTGCTTTCAAATAGCAATCATCTGGGAATTGGCAAAGTGGAGCCACTCGGCAATGCCAGCTCCTGTTTGTTAGGCTCACCTAATAGCGATCGCATGATTGCCGTGCAGATACGTTGCGATCCTCAAATCGATGTGAAAGTTTACATTGCACGCAGTCCACGGCAGGATTTCTTCCCCAGTCCACTAGTCCCAGAGAAGTTCTGGGAAAATCTGGGCGGCAATTTCAAGGAGGTAAGCTACAAAAAATATTTACATTAAAATTAGTTATATAATTAACTTATTAATCTGTTTAGGTGCGCTTTGATAAAATCGAGGGCAAGAGTTTTCTCAACAAAATGGAATTTTTGATGGCATCACTGACCAGCAACACGACCTAACTGTCCTATATACCTCATTATTAATACAATTTAGTTTTTGGTTTATAGCGAGTATATAGTATGTACGATATTGTATTAAAATCCACTGGCTTCAGGATTAATAAATCGTTTAATGTGGGATTGCCCCATTCAGTGCTGCAGACTTCCATTCATTGATGATTATCAGAAATGACTGTAATTACTGCTTCTATAACCGGTTGTTACATAGCCACGGGGCTGACCACTGATGGTTCCACTACAACCACCGGCCTGTGGCGTTGGATAGCGCTCTACAATGTTAAAGGTGTCCTCCAAACTAATGACATTTGCTCGATTCGTGCTCTGTAATAAAATCATACCATAAAAATACTCTATATTAAAAATATGAATCTTTATTTTTATATGAACAGGTAAATAGTGGGTATAGAAACAATAATTTCTACTTGAAATAGACAGAATAAGATCGAATTTCTGTCCAACATTTAAATAATGAAGAATTCTTTGTAGTATAGAGTTTGTAGGATTGTTTTAGTTTCGAGAGTCTATTCGAAACGTCAACGAGTATAACGGAAGGCGGATGAATTTGTAAAAAACTTTAAAAGCAACATATGTAATAAAATAAATTATACTTTTCTCTAAATTCTAAAATATAGCATTTTTTTATAAAGTGAGCAGATTATCGAAAATATGTATTAAAAAAAAAAAAACAGAGTATAAAAATTATAATTGATGCAATAGATAGAATTTCTGAAGAATATTTTAAATATTTACATACAATTTATATTATTATATACATAATTGAATCTTTAATATCTAATCGATTTATAGAATTCATAGGAATTATTTCAAAATAATGCATGTTTTAGAAGTATTCTGTATAGAAAATAAATACATAACTATTTGGGACTTTCGACTTTTGTTTTTCGGTTTGTTTAGGGTATAGGAAACAATGCATCATTTGAACTACTAGCAATTGCCCTATGTTTTGCCAAAACGATGTCTGAACTTTTCACTTTGTGCTAAAGAGACCGATGATGCTTTAATCGCATTTCATTAAAAGAATATAACGCTTTGGCCAGCTCACAGTATAGAGAGACGTGAATAGCTAAAGGTTTCCGAAAGGTAAACTTACCCAACGCTCTAAATCACAGAAACTGATGTCATAGCCCTTCGCACGCGATTCTGTTGGATCTAGTGTGTAGTCCGTCATTGGCTCCGCTTCTACCTGGGGCTGAGCCTGTCTTAGATACAGCCCACGATTTGTGGAGAATAGGACAGGCACACGATTCGATGGTTCCGTGCCCTTTGCTGAGCCCACAACTTGCCTATAGCTCCGAGAATTTGGCAAAGGTAGTGCTGTCACCTGGTTATGGTCCTCTCCAAAAGCACCGCCGACAGTGCGCACAAATCCCATGCAACCGTAAAAACACGACGCCACTTTGCTGCATTTGTTTCTCAATCCAGATTCGGTCGGATATATACACATAAAATGATATGCATATGCATTTTGCGGTTTTATTGATTTCTTTACTTCACAGCGCCGACGACGCTGTCAACACTAAACTGGAAAAATAGACAGTAGACAGTGCCAGGAACTGTAATTAGCCTCCGTTTGTGTGGGCCATTGGCGATTCGGTTGCTTAGCAAAGTTGGACAACGCCAGTCGATAGAAATGGCAGACAATTGGGGTCTGCTTGGTGTCCATAGGTTCGTGCTGGCTGAGGAGGCAAATAGTTGCTTTGTATTTATAGCAAAACATTGATAATCGCACGAATTTCGGTATACAATTGTGCAATTAAAATGTTAACAGCCACAGATCGGAATTATAAAACAAGTGGAATACATGCAACACGAAGCAAATAGCCGTTACAAAATAATTTGTTTCCTAATCCTAATACGGCAACAATTTTTTTTAATACTTAGAAAACTAAAACTTCGTTTTGAAATGCTGCTTTGAGTATTACAAAATTTAGCTAGTTAGTATAATGTAAGAAAGCGCCGCAGTGATTGAAGGGCTACAAAATAAATTATTTCCCTTTTCAAATTAGAATTAGTTATTAATGCTCAGAAATTTAATTTTTAATATTGCAATGAATTTTGCTGTAATTAGCTGTTTAGATAACTGGTTCTACCCAGGCACGATCTATAATTAGTAAATAAAATACTGCAAAGAAAGAGGGTTATTTTTAACCCAATATTTGAGAATTATAAAGCTGCTATTAGTTCAATGGGAATATTTTTCGATAGTAGTACTCTTGAAAATATGCTAACTAAGAAACTACAAAATTCGCATTTAGATTTTATTTTCATACCACTCCATAAATAGATTTTCCACCTTTTTACTTTTTACAAATATTGTTTTAAAACTTTATTTCATTTTATATTATATTTTTTGTTTTTGTGTACTTGTAAATTGTTTAATTAACACTAAAATACTTATTCAAACATATTTTCATATTTAATCCGTTTTTCATTTTTTTTTTGCCTTTTCTTGTTTTGTTTTTGTTGTTCTTCACTTAACGCCGCGCCATTACACATACGTAATAATATTTATATATAGATCCAGCAATTTAAACGCTTAATCTTTAAGCGGTTAGTAAATAATATATAAATTGTATATTTATATTTAAACTTAAATACTATTTAAGTTTGTTTTGGTTGTGCGGCATTAATAAAAATCATGCAGCAAACCGTTCTTGATTTGCATATACTTTCGAATATGCTTCAAATTCCGACACATTGAATATATATTTAAAATATATTTTTATTTTATTTATATATATTTAAGTTATTTTATCAATTGATGTTGCATATTATTTTTGTGGTTGTTCTATTCAATGCGGCGAATTCCTTTTTGATTCATTCATGTATTTTCATATTCTTATGAATTAGTTGCTAATTTAATGCTACTGTACGTGTTTTGTAAATGTTAAGTTATTTCTCATTCAGTAGACCTTTTTTTTTGTTTGTTTACTATGTGAATGCTGTGTCAAAAGAAAAGGTGCAAGCATACACACATATATGTGTATATAGTTATATATATATGTATATAGTTCTATATACTTTCCGCATTAATTTTAATCATATATTAATTTGCATTGGCTGCGTTCGCTAAAACACAGCTAATTTTCCGTAGAATTGTTAAATTTTTTGTACAGCATGATGTTTTTCTTGTTTTTTTTTTTTTTTTTGTTTTTAAGTTTAGTGTTGATATCTTGAAGTAAATATTTTAAGTTAGGTTGCTACATTTTTTGTTTTTGTATTTTTTTTTTGCTGCCTTCTGTGCTGCTTTTAAGTAATAATCGTCTATGCATATTAAACAGCTAATTCTTAACTACTCTTTTATATTTCTATATATATATATATTTATATGCGCAATAAATTAATGCATACGATGCGCTTTGATTTCTTTAAATCTTTATATATATATTTCGTGCCCAATAATGCGCAATGTTGTGCCTTCTTTTGACTTCCAAAAACACAACAACACTTAAGTAAGCAACACTTTGCTGTATGAGGAGAAATATAAATGATAAATATTGCTCAATTACCACAACATTAGCGGAACATTAAAAGAACTTAAATAACAATTTTTATTTTTGTTTTTTTTTGTTGCAAAAGAAAACAATATACAATATGCAAACGAACGACCGAACGACAAGGAGAAGAGCCATTTGGAAACAACAAAAACGGGCAAAAAATAAGTTTGTTCCAAAGGACTGCAAGAAACATAGACAAAATGCCTCTTTTTTTACAATTATTATTACAGCGTAAGTAACGCATTTTGGTTTTGTACAATGTTGAAGGGGTGCGGGTGTGATGGTGAAGAGGGTAGGGCGGAGGACGACGTGTGATAGCCAAAAGCCGACATTGCCATTGTGCTTAGAGAGCACAAAAACATACACACTTACAGTTCTATATATAGGTGCATGCATGTACATATCGAACAAGGCTAACTATGTTCCGCTATATATAAGTTTATTATTTACCAATATAAATATTTCGTTCTCCCTTTTTTTTTTGCGCCTTTAAGACTTGCCTAACAAAAGTTGCCCTTCTTTCAATTTCTACAGTAATGTTATTATGTGTTCCATATATATATAAATGTGTAAGATATATATGTGTATATGCAAAAAATCACACAAACAGAAAATGTACATACAAAGGTATCAGGATACATATACACATACATATGTATACTATATAGGCGCACATACAAAATTATTAGTAATATGCGAGCAAGTACTTGGCTGTTATAAATATATAGGAAGGTAATGAACAGAATGGGGGGAAAAACCACAAAACTTGCTCAAAATATGCGCTTAAACTGTTGCATTTCATTAACATTAAGTTAAGTATATTTGCTTTTCTTTTTATATATATATGTATATTTTCTTGGGCCGTACACACACATTTTTATTTTTGTGGAGCGTGGACTTGCCACATGGACGCGCCTGCTGTGGGTTTCTATTCTTTTGTATAGTATTTACTGAAGCTATGTTCGCACTATCTGTGGCTCAAATATTTGACATTCAATATTATTGCATATTATAAATCATATCATATGTTTACTACGTAATCAAATAAATGTTTATTCAAGCTCTAAAATTTATAATTCTATTGACAAATACAAATAATTGTAAGTTTTGAAAATGTTGTGAGCTCGAATATTAAGATCCTCAAAAGTTGTACTTTCTATAAAGTGGAAGTACTATATAAGTACAGTACATATAAAATCGATATTTAGAATAACTCAACTGGTATTTTTATTGTGGAATTAGTTTTGCTCTCATTTGAGCTGTACTTTTCTTTATCCTGTCTGTTCCCGTTTCAGATTTAAATAAAATCTATCTACATTTGATCACGCACATATTAAATGTTAAAACGTAGCGCGTACTATTATTCAATTTCATTATAATTGGGCGGAAGGTGGCACAAACTAATGTCTACTCTAAACAAAATATATTTCGATTCGAGTTATATTCTTGATTTAGTTTCAATAAATTTACTCAATTTTACATTATCCCAGCCCTTCACTAAATCGATTTTAGACAAATGGAATCGATTTCAGAAATGGAAACAGATCTGAATATTAAGCAGACATTGAATAGATTCAGGACATTATTATCTCATTAGCAATTCCTTACGTTTTTTACAATTCACTATAATATTATTCAATGTCTGCTAATAAAAATACAATTTTAAAAAGTATGGATAGTAAAGCTCTACCGAAAAATTTCCCTGTCCTGTCTTTAGTGTTACATCTGCGGTGCAGATTTGATCGTGATATTTTTGGCCTGTATGAACATAGCATGGATTACAGATTTTCCCAGAATGCTTTTCGGATTTTAAGGCAAAAGTTTTAAGTACTTGTTTGCCAAAATACTGAAACAATTTCTAACAACTTATTTAGAATGCTCGAATTGAAAAGTTGAATAGAAATATGTGATTTGTGGCCTTGATGGTTATAGCACAATATTTGAGCAATAGCTAGTGTAAACATAGGGTTATAACTATTTTACATTTGGTTTGGCTTTGAGTTTGTTTAGCTTGTTTTGTTCAGTTTATCAGTTTTTCAGTTTTTAATTCGCTTATTATTTTTGCATTTCAATTTTACAATTTGCTTTGACGCTATTACATTAATTTGTTTCATATATGTATGTATCTGTAGATTAGGTATTAATAGTTAATTTATGCTTATGTACCGAGGAGTTACTACCGTGTGTGTGTGTGTGTGTGTATTTAGAAATTGAGTTCCTTGGAGTAATGCGCACCAGAGGGCACAGTCGGATTGCCAGAGTTATTAGAATTGTTGTTACTGTTGTTACCATTGTTGTGTGCTGGATTGCTGTTCGGATTAGTGCTGTTGCCGCCATTGGGTGGCAAGGAGGGCAGCGGCAAGTTGGCTGCGCCACCGCCACCACTTAAGAGATTGGAAGCGGCCGCACCAAGCGCCGCTGCTGCCACAGCGGCTGCCGAGGTGCCACTGCCTGTGCTATTGGAGGCTGCAGCAGCAACGACGGCGGCAACCGCAGCGGCCACCGTATTGAGATGCTGTTGCTGTTGGTGGTGCTGGTGGTGGTGATGATGATGTTGTTATGGCATGAAGTAGTCCGGATGATCTGTGTCTTTCTCAAACCGCTTTGCCTCCTCGTGCATGCTCTCCTTGATTTTGAGTATAGCTGCCGATTCATTTTGATCATTTTCACCGGGACCACCAAAGCCACCCAGATTGTAATCGCCCATACCACTGCCGCTGTCCTCGCGTGGCGTACCAGGTCCACCGTTGGCTGGCGAATTTTTCATACCATCCAGACCGGTACCATCGGGTCCACCACCACCATTAATTACAGGACCCATCGAATTGGGTCCACCACCCATGGGGCCCATTCCACCAGGCCCTCCGCCACCACCTCCACCATCAGGTCCGCCACCCATCGGAAATTCTGGTTTCATTAGCGAATACATGCTGTCTCCTGGTCCCCCAACGGGACCACCTTGCGTGTTGTCCTGCGGCGAGGGCATTATAGGCGTGCCCGGTCCGGGCGGACCATTTGATCCCGGTCCCGGACCGTAGTTGCCCGGCGATGATGATGAATACGCGTTCATTGGCGCCGATGCATTTGGCTGCCATTGTGGCGGTCTTCCACCTGCTCCACCCATGCCCATGCCAGGTGGCATGCCGCCGGGGCCTCCAGGTGCTGGACCTCGCATACCTCCGGGTCCACCATATCCCATTGGACCCATGCCACCGGGACCGCGCGGAGGATTCATGCGCGGGTTCATAGGACCCATTCCGCCACCCGGTCTTGTCGGATCCATGCTATTCGGCATCATTGGCTGTCCTGGCGGGCCATTAAACTCATTGCCCATGCCCTGCATACGCACGCCGGGCCGCGGACCACCAGGATAACGGGGTCCGCCCATGAAGGGTGGCTGTCCTGGCATCATTTGTGACGGCGGCGGCTGTGGACTCGAAGCATGCGTTGGCGGCGATGGCCGCATTGTCGAATTTGGAAAGAAGTTGGGTCCCATTGGACCGCCTGGTCCCATGGGACCATCACCACCGGGTGGCATCTGACCGAGCGGACTGGGCGCTGGACCGCCAGCATTGTGTGGACCGCCGGGTCCAATACCATTCACACCATAGCCTGAGCTTACAAATCCATAATCGTGAAAGGCCTTGGCCTCTGAGGAGTGATCGCACTGATCCCGACGCTCGGGCGCCGCACAGTACAGATCCCAGAAGACGCACCACCAAGTGTGCAAAAATCCTGGCGGTTCACCCAGCGTTATGTTCTTCTCCCATCGGATCTCGGAGAGGAATGTTTGTGCTGCCTTTTGGGCGCCCACATGTAGCAGATATTCATAGACGTACAGTGCGAGTTTCTCGCGCGCCTGCGCATCTGAAGGCACGGCTGAAGTTTTTGACTTGCCGTACATTTTACTGTTGTTGTTGCTGCTGTTGATGTTGTTGTTTATGTGATGTGTGTTGTTTTAAATCCGTTGCAGCTTTTTGTTGTTGTGTTTTGCCGTAAGGTGGTTTTTATTGTTGTTATGCTTAGTGCTTGAGTTTTTGGTCCATACACACGCGTTGCTTTTTAGTTTAGTTGAGTGTTTTTTCGTTTTGTTGTTTTAGTTGCGTTGCTCGCTTTGTGCTTTAACTTCCACTGTATTTAAATTATATTTTTTTATGTACTTTTCGAGGCTCTTTTCGCCGCTGCTGCGGCGGCTGCTGTTTCTGTTATGTATGTTGTTGTTGTTTTAATTGGCGCTCAGCTCCAGCTCGGCGAGCTCACGCAGCCGTTCTCCTCCGCTCTATTACTTCCACCATTTTTGATATTTTTATTATTATTTGTATGCCGCTTCGTTGTCGTTTCAGAGATTTGCGTTCGATTTTTGCAAATACACCTTGCTTTCTAACTTTTTGATTTTACAATATTTTTAAGCGCGTTCGTTTGCTGCTTGTCGCCGTCGCCACTTCTTCGTTTTACCGTTTTTATTATTTTTTTTCAGGTATTTTTTTGCCTGATTGTTGCTGCACAACCACTGAAAACAGAAAAAAAATCGTCGTGAGAGCGTAAGTATGTGTTGCAAAAAATGTGTGTTCGTGTGTACTTGCGCATATGCATGTGTATGTGTGTGTAGAGAGTACGGCCGCACCAATGAGCGAAACGTGGGAGAGAAAGAGCGCGCGCATTGTCGAAACGACACAAGTGGTACACTGGCTGCTAAAACAAACGGCACACATTCCAAAACATATTGACAATATTTTATGCAAAAAATCGTTAAGTTTCAAAAACAAATTCTGCTTAATGTGTACCAATTCATTCTATTTCATTACTTTACACGTGGCAATTGTAAAATATAGCACATTGCCGGCTGAGTGCAGGTGTACATGTTATTTCGGACATGACTTTTATGCGTTAGTTTGGCGTTTTTGTGTTGTTCTTCATTTCTCGCCAGGTGAGTGAGTGATGCCCAGTTTGTAGGTAAAAAAAAGAAGGCCAGGAACAAGCGCAGTGGAATCGGCTGGCTACGTAGCGCGCTGTCAAATGGCTATTCAAATCAAATTTCATGTACAGAGCATCATAGGTTTTCTGTTTCTTTCTTTTTTTTCCTATAGACAACACAGACGGCGCGTGGCGATAAGGCCACTTCAGTTTGGGTTCGTACAGCAGGTGAACTGTAAAACAGTTGTAGTGGTTGTCGAATTATTCTTGTACTATTTGAATAAACAGACTGCAGTCATTTGTAAGCCCCCAGTAATCCTATTGCTGAATATAGTTTATCACTATGAAGTAGTACGGGACTTGACGTATGTAACTTTAAATTGAAGTACACACACACTTGAATGGAAGCATGAATTCTAAAACAATTTGATTTGTTTCTATTCAGAATATTTTGGCTGAGTGTCTTCCTATACTAACACTTATGTATACGTTGCCGGCTTTAAATTGAAACCGGTTATAATCACAACGTTGACAATTAGGGTATTTCTGATTGCTTTTAAATATTCGAATTTTATTTTGCCGATCAGCTGTTCAGAAATCTGCAATGTGACCAACAAATTCTCAAACATTTTTAAATTGCTTTTCATTACATTTTTAAATGTTTGTTTCTCTTGCAGTAAATAATTCATTAATTTATTGTATTTATGCTGCGATTGCCACATACATATGGATCTGTGCATACAGCTGTTCAGAAAAACTTAATATTAAAACATAAGTCAAAAGTGGCCGTTCCGGATTGCTTAAGTTTCGATTTACTTCAAACAATACAGTATTACAGCATTGAAAATCAGTCAAGTTTCGGTCATGTTTCATTAACAGCTGATAAATTATGACATTATCAATAAATATCTATGTATGAACTACATATTGTATGTACGCATCGAAAATCACTTGCATTGCTATCAAAATACCGGTCGCTGCTATTGCTTTGACATTGTTCTTGTTGTTTGTTGCCACTATTGAAAGCTGAACAGCTACCACATAAATATAAAAATTGAACTACCACTACCGCTTTTTGTTGTTTTTGATTTTGTTTGCCGTTGTCTAGTTGAAGACGTCATCAAATTTTGAACGCGGGTTTTCTCTCGCACGTTCTACTTTTTACCACACGGCCACAACTGCACACACACAAACGCACATACAGATCTGTGTGCATCGGCGCAAACATCATTATGCCATATACTAAGTGTTGTTGTTGTTGCATACGCACCTTAGTGTTCAACTTATGTAGTAGCACAGATAAATTCTCACTTGAGCTGCTTTTTGGTTATAATTGTTTTTGTTTTTATATTGTTATCGTTGCAGCCGTCCTGCGCCTGCTGCTGCTGCTGATTGCAATTTTATCACAAAATCAACAAGAGAAATGCACACACACACATGAAGGTATAGAGTAGTAGTCGTTACTCAGAGCAGAGAGTAAAATATGGAATTAATTAGAATTTCATTGATTTTTCGTATTTGCGGCTCATATGTTTTCGCGCAACGACACACAATACATACAAATAATTATTTATTATTAAACCGCGCGCTGTCGATTTTTGCACCAATTTTAAAATATGTTTATATGAGTGTGTGTTCTAATTGTGTGCGTATGCATGTATGTGTATGTCGTGTGTGTTTTTAATTTCTTTTCTAAACACACTTTTCGCTCTTTTACTTGCTGTATTTTGTTGTTGTTGCTGTAATTTTTGCAAGTTTTCTCTTCACACGATTTTCATTGGCCCTGCGCCTTGTCCGTGTATTCGTCGTTGTCGACGATTGCTTTTGCTTCTTCTTGTTCTTCAACCAATAATCGGCCTTTTTTTGCCTGTACGACGAAATTTTCAGAACGAGTTTTAACGTTTAAATTCATTTTCGATTGTTTTCATTTCATGAATGAACACTACGTTCACATTTTCACTGTTATTTGCGCATAGATTTGCACAGATTTAATTAGTTTTAACACAGCAATTAATTTTATAAATATTTTTACTGCTACAAGTTGCGTCTCAATCGTCTCTCAAAAGGCGAATGGTAGGAAGGAGCGAACAAACCAATATTTTTTTCTGCTCATTATTTTGGTAAGTGCTTTGCGTTCTTAGTAGTTATCTCGCTCACACGCACATTGCCGCTTGCATGCTGCCAGACTGTTAAATAGAATGGCATATAATGAAAAATAATTGAAAAAATGATTATATGAATACAAAATTTAAATATACTAACTATAAGATACACTAACAAGAAATTAATATTTGAATTCATTGGGGACATTTTATAGTTTGTAGGAAATAAAATGCTTACCACCGGCACCCAGCAGTCTGGCAGCTCAGCTCCGGCATTTTACTCACTTTGTTTTTCACCTATTCCTCGCACGCTCTTCCTTCACACAGTTTTCTTGTGTACCCATATTGCAGTGCATTTTGTGTTCTTTCTTTGTCGGTCATAATTGGGTAAGTAAATTAAAATAATTATATAAATTGAAGAAAAGTAGAAGTACATATTTTTATTTATATGAAAATGTTGAGAAATTGCAAGAAATTGCCACCCGTAACATTTGGCAGTACTTTATTTAAAAATCGATACAAAACAATACTTAAATAGGGCAACACTGTAAGTAAAAATTCAAAAGTTCGCGGGCAATGTTTTTGTTCATTTTTATCGGTGTAATTCATGATATAGGGACAATAAAAACAACTTACTGCTTACCTGCGTCACTTTGTTTGAGTTGCGTAGCACTGAGTCGCCGATGGAAATTACCCGCAAGCTTTGAGTGTCCTGTCCAATCAGCTACAGTTTCGACCCACAAGTTACGTTACATTTAAATATGTGTCGCTGCTACTGCGCAAGAACCTTTTTCTGGGCGCCAAGTATAGGGTCCATAGTAGCCGCTAACGGTAAACAGAAACAGTGCAACTGCAACTGTACGCGGATGCTGTGCGTTACACGAAGTTCCTGCGCCGATCTAGTACGAGTACTGCAGTGTACCATTCATCTCGTAGTTTGTTGTTTCACGCGCAAATAATAAAACTAGTCCTGCCGTAGGCGCCATGGTGTTAATTAATAGTGCGGCTAAAACAAATTTTTGTTGAATCGAGTTTTGTTCAGACACATAAACACACACGGAAATAAAGAATTGTAAAAATAATTAAGAAAAGGTAAATTATAAAGTTTCCAATTGAATATTGTGTGCTGGAATATTTAGTGTTTTTAGCTCTAAAAGCACGTGATGCCAATTTGACCGACTTTAAGGCTGAGCTTACAAGCACGTTGCATGTTGTACGTCGTTTGTTTCAAATTGTTTCAATAGCTGTAAGGGCTCGTGGACGGGGGCGCTCCAATTGATGCATTTGTATGGTAACAAAAGTTTGGCGTTTATTTGCATATTGCCGACAGTTTATGGCGCAAAGCACAAAATTGCATTGGAAACATTTTGTTGAACTGCTAAAAGCGTTGAATAGTTTGGGCATTCAAATCCAATGCAAATGCCCCTCCATCATGTCCTTGGGCTCTGACTTAACAAATGAATAAGAGCGCTTTAGGCTGAGTTCGCTTTTGTCAATATTTATGTGACACATTTTTATTGAAGTTAATGTTTGGCTTTAATCCTTTAGCGTTGAAATTGCTGTCTAAAATTTAAAAATGAGCGGCTAGCGTGTTGTTTTGGCTCTTTTTCTTGTTGTTGGTTTTTGGATAGGCAGACAGCTGCCAAGGGCAACATTTTATTTTGGTCAATGTGTCTATGATTCTGACTATGTTTGTACTTGTATATATGTAAGCGTATGATCGCAAGGCTAGAACATGGCCTCACACAAGCAAATATACACACGCAAACTTACACACACACACACATGCATTTATGTAGAAGCACACACACAGGCAGTTTGTGGCACATTCAATTACAATCATTTCGACAGCATTGCACTAAAAGGCTTAACTATGAATCTTTTGTGCATGTCCTTTATTTCTTTCATTTCGTTCGCTTCTCTTGTTCAATTTTGAGTGTAAGCTTGTGGGCTTAGTGGCCGCTTTTGCTTTCGCGCGCACTGAAATATTGAGAGTTGCGGTTACTGGCTTGAGTTAATTGCATGAATGTCCTTAAGAGCAGTAAAGTGCTGGGTGAGCCTTTTTTATTTCACACTGGGGATTCGAATCGTAATTACACCTGTAAAAGACTTTCTTTAAAATCGCTTAAAGCAACAATCAAGTACTTTAATTAAGTTAAATTAAAATTGTAGTACATAAAAAAGATTTCTCATTTATTTATTTCGAAAAAGTTGTTCAAAAACTCATGCATCTTCATTATGAACACATACTTACGCACACACACACAAACACATCCACACACTTGACAGCGTTTTAATTTAATTTGTGCTTAGTGCAAAATCAAAACCTCTTCCACTTTAGTGCAAACAAGCCGCAGGTAGAATGCTCATTCATATAAATCTAATTCGCAGCTTGACAGACGAGGAAGGATAACAACTTGCTAGCTGTGAACTTTGCTGCCATAACATACATATGCATCACTTGCACATTAAACGATGCACCATGAATAAATTCTACACTGATAGAACAACCTATATGGGTTGTCTTTGAATATCAATATACATACGTGTAGATACGATTAAAAATCAGATATATTTTCACGAAAGAATACATATTTTGAATTTGAAATTCAAATATAGCTTAAATATTTAGGTATACGATGAATTAAGTTTGGGTGGATAATATAAGTTCGGTATTTTGCAATTGATTTTGAATTCCCTCGGTTTAACTTTCAGCTTATATTCTACAGATTGGGAGGACATTTTTAATAGTATTTGAATGCTTAATATTAGTATTATAAAAGCACACCCAATATGAAAGCTGCACTTTATCAGCATTAAATTCGGTTTTAATTATAGGTAGTATTGTTTAAATAATTTGTAAAACTAAAAGTGACCCAGCCCTGTTCTTCCTAAGATATTATTTGTTTCACAAGATAGAGCCATATATTCTTCATATGATTGTAAAATTTTGCAACATTCTTAATTTTTATAAATTTTATTATTATTTTGACCTTAAATATTCTTAAAATTCCAATCAAAAAAAACTCAGTCTGTCTTTTTACATTTTCCAACAATTTCGAATTGGACAGTTTACTAAGATAATAATTGACTTAAGGACTAAACTCGGTAAAGCTCCTTTAGATTTCTTTCGGTGTTCCCTAGAATAAGCTGCTGTCAGTAGCAGCCTCTTGCCTTGATGCGCACACATATATCAAAAGTGTGGCCGACGCGTCATGGCTCATTTTGCAGTTGCTTTCGCTGCTCCTACTTTTGCAGTAACTGATGTTTCTGTTGTTGTTGCTGCTGTTGTACTGCATTGCACGATTTATGAAACTGGCAAAACTGCGAAAGCTGTTTCCGTTTTGCAGTTTCCTTTGCCGTCTTATAACTAGCTTCGTTATGTCGTGTGAACCGTTAGCTCTGTTCGTTGTTATTGTTGTTGTTGTATCCCATGTGCTTCACAGTGGATTTTTACTTGCCGCTGTCGTAATTCAATTGCCCAAAAAGGCAGCTGATTTGTGGGCTCAGAGGCATGTGTTTTTTCATTGACCCGCAAAAGTATGCTACACTTTTGATTCCATTCTGTGCCTTGGCCATTTTATGGCGCCATTTTGTTTTGGCACATGAATAAAGTCTTAGCCAGACTAGAAAATTGTTGTATGTGAGAATTATTTATATTATATTTGCAACTTTTGAATATATTTTCAAATAATTTTCAAATTTCAAACATGTGATCTTATTGAGCTTTTTCAGTGACTTCACAGTGAATTGTATATGCAAAAGAATATTCGTTTTATTTAGAATATTTACACAATAAATAATTGGTTAACAAATTGTTTAATAAGTCCGTATTAAATTTTTCAAGCTCAATATATTGAATAAATATTATGCTATGATAAATTTAATTACTTCACGCTGTACGCGACCAAATGTGCAATTAGTAACTGATTTTAGTTTTTAACGTAAAACCCCTGTATATGAAATACACAGATTTGTGGTTCGTTTAAAATAAATGCTACTGTAAACTTAAAGAAAATATGCTAAATGTGAATACTCATTATGTTCAATTTGTTGCAATCGTTTGACCGCATTTTGTATGTTTTATGTAAATATTAAAGACTATGACAATTTTACTTTAAAACATTTCCTCACACATGCTTACTCACATATGCACAGTCTCTTTAGTGGTGGTCCATTATCGCTACTAAACATGCATGGATGTCGCGCAATGCGGTTGTATTTTGGAAAATTACACTTACATACACACAACTGTACACAGAGACAGCGGAAAATGCAAATGACAAGCAATGTGTCAGACCCTTTCCACTTTGATCCCCTTGTAGTTAAATATGTTGGTTGTGTATGTGCGACATTATAAATTTCTTATCGCTTAATTAAAATACTTGCCAAAGTTCATTTACTTAATTTCACCCGTTTAATTATGCAAGCAGCAACACCAGCGCCAAAAATTACAATTAAATATTTCATTAGCACTGCGGTTGTGGTCCTCATGGACGCGACACAAATACACTCACACACACACACACACAGGCAAACACACAGTCACGTGACAGAAGCAAACACGCAGAAATTTTGCAATTTTAATAAACACACATACAGACAGACGCGCACAGACAGAACTTAAGTGAAAACGCAGAAAAAATAGTTTAAAACAATGGCACGTTCGTTGCTTTTGCGCATTCCTCTGACCCTCTCTTCTCGCGCCCTAGGAACCCTTACTTCACGTACGTTCCCAGGAGCGTTCAGCGTGCGAGAAAGGCGAAAGCCAAAAAGTAAACATGGCGTACCAGCTCGGACACATGCATGGACACGCATACACACACACACACACGCAGGCATTTATATATATCGTACACACGCATACTCACGCAGTTGCATATCAGACAGGTGGCAATAATGGCATACTGGACGATGGAGCGAAAAGATTAACCGGAAATTGTTGAATTGAACAAAATGATAGTTTTTGTACTCCTTTTATTTAAAAATCACCGTTTTTTTCATTAACTCGTTCATTAGCAGCACCATTTCCCAATTTTAAAGCATTATATTTATTAATTATTTATGATAAAATCAAATCTGGCCGCTGGCGAGCTTACTTATTTCCTTTCACATAATTTTGTAAGTTTTTTTATGTTTAATTGACATTGACAGTCTTCTTTGATGACAAACAAATATAGAACTGGTAATTATTTGTGTTTCACATTTTGTTGTCCGCTGTTTTACTATTTATGTAAATTAGTATTATCTGTATGTGATTTTTAAACAAAAATTGACTTTTGAATTCAAATATTGGGACAAATAATTTTATATTTAAATAGATAAGTGGAAAACACAAATCGGAGTTGCATTTGATGTTGTTTCCGCAACTCTTGTTAGGTTGAAAA